CCCTAACCCTAACCCCTAACCCCTAACCCTAACCCCTAACTCTAAACCCTAACCCTTAACTCTAACCTTAAATAATTTTTATAAAATAATTCTATTTCTGGCAATACTTTATGTGAGTGTTAAAAGATAAAATACTCCGTACTGAAGTTTGTAATCCTTTATTTATTACAAACATTTTCAATGAATAGATTTTGGATAAAGAAATGCAAGACAATTTTAGAAATTATAAAACCCCATACCCCAAAAAAAAAATATTTTTCCTTACAATATCTAAAAGATGTAAATGTAGGATCAAATTAAGAGTTAGTACATTATTTAAAACCAAAATGAAAACTGGTACAAATAAATATTCTATACACACACCAACTTAGAATTATGTTTAGGATAATAATTGCTGATAAATAAACACACAACAAAATGCTTCTGAAGAATGATTCGAAAATAATGATTCCCATCAACAAAGTAATGAACATGTAATTTAGAGTTGTCTTTCTAAGATAATCTATAAAAATGTACACTAGATGGAAGACAACAATGATTAAAGTAAGTGAATTTGAAAAAAAAATTATGTAATCAAACAAAAACGAATTGAAATTGTTAGACCATAAAGTTATTTTAGGTATGTTACATATATATTATATATATGTGTGAATATATGTGTATATATTAATTTATATATGTGTATATATGTGTGTATGTGTGTGTATGTGTGTATATGTGTGTATATATATATGTATATATATGTGTGTATATATGTATGTATATATATATATATATATATATATATATATATATATATATATATATATATATATATATATATATATATATATATATATATATATATATATATGTAAGTCTATGTATGTGTGTGTGTGTGCGCTCATTTCTATCTTCATGTATGTCTATAATGATCGAAGTTAAAAATATTCGTGACTGAGATAAATTCAATGCATGGATGGATTTCTTGTATTCATTGTCTGTCTTCCTCCATTTGTAAACATTTTACAATATGATGTGAAATACTGTGAAGGCGCTACCCAAACCAAGTACGGTATCGAAATTCTTGAGCATGTAACCCTTACCCTAACCTGTATGGTATCGAATGTTGGTTTTAGATATGTATTCACAAACCTAATTTGATTACGTTTGGGTTACGTCTGTATGTCTGCGAATATGAGAAAAATAAATACTCAAATAAAATGAAGTGATTTTTAAAAGCTAATTAAAATTAGGCCTAAAGGAAAATGTTTAAATAATATTTTTCCTATTAAAAAAATATATATTTTATATTTTAAGATAAAAAACATTAATTAATTATACAAACATTAAGGTATGGATCATTCATATTTAAAAAAGGCATATAAAAGGTAAAAGGAATCAAAATCATTACAAAATTTTACTCGTAAGAAAATTGCATCACAGCTTAATTAATTTATAATAATAATATATTGGTATTACACTACGATAAAAGGACATTCTTAATTTTAAAGCAAATTAGCAGGATAAAAATGTTAAAACTCACAGATTAAAAATAATCAACGTTAGCAGGATAACAATGCAAGAATTCAGATTGAAAACAATACTAGCATAAATGCTTTAGAAACTTTAGCAGTAAAAACAAATAGTCCATTACGAGAAATTTACAACTGGTCAATCAGAAACAAACAAAAGTGAGTCAGCAGCTAAAAAAAGAAACTTCTAGTTTGGGTCGGGTTAGGCTTAGATAAAATGGAAGTTAAAGCCGATACACTTCTGGGCCTATATACTAACCCTAACCCTTAACTTAATATCTACTTTTAAAATGATCAAAATACGTGCCTAGCTCGAGCTACTAACCCTAATCCAATGCTCGAAAAATTAACCCTACCCTAATGGACGCCAGCGAGAAAAGTCTCAAAGGTATTTGAGAGGTCCATAAATTAATTTATAAATCATGCACGGCGTAGTTACAATAAATATGGTGATAAAATCCTGCCTGTCTGGTTTTTTTTCACGTGTAATGGCGACATAAACAATGGCATCCTGCCATTCGATAGGCCGCCATAAATTGTATTGTACAAATTATAAGCTAAAAATAGAAAAACTAGGTCATGGGGTTTAAATTTGCATTGTTATTTAAAAACTTGATCTGCAAAGTTTTGTAAACAAATAGTTATCGATCACTAAGTTACTGTACAGCCAATCAATATTTGTCTTACGAAAGTGAAACATCCGGTTATAACATAGGCTTGATGAAAATAAATAGAAATGTAGCCTTAAACTCAACAAATTATTTTCAAGTTCTCTAGATTTGCAACTTTTATAGCATTTATTCCTAAAATATAAAATTTCTAAATTAATTTTAGGCTTAAGTTTTTTTTTACGGTCTAAATCTAAAAAGCACGTTTTTATTCCATGTCAACAACATTATGGAAGGAATCTCGTCAACTCGCTGGTGTCCATTCATGCCATTAATGGTTGGTCCAACGGAACAAAGTATCTACAGGTTGCTAGAATTGTTGTGGTTTACGTTTTGTTAATCAATCGATTAAACTTACTCGAGAATTATGGGTTAGAAGTCATGCAATCTACATCGCGACCTTGTAACTTCAGTGAACTCATTGAGAAAAAAAAAGGAACCGGATATGCCTATTGAATGTGGACAAGCAGAAAGTACAGCTTTTGTTAGGAAAACGATTATTGCAAATTTAAGATTCAATAATAGTAATACGGCGATAGAGCATAGACCTATACGGTTAGAGGGTAAGACTTCAATCTGTGTAGAAAACAGAACAGCAGATGTTTCGAGCAATTCAGCTTGAGTTGTGGACAAGTTTAGAAAGGACAATTTTAAGTTTGTATATAAAGCATTCGCCGTTCCACTACCCCATAAACCTGGGTTAGGGTTAGTTAAAATAATGTTTTGGGCTAGTGTTAGTTAAAGATAGTGTTTTGATAATAACACTGAAAGACAGAAAAATTCATGGCATAAAAATTGTTGAGTAAACAAAACTGTTAATCGACTTCACAATCATCCTGACTTTTCCCGCCTAATTTATCGTGAAAGCAGTCGCACAGGAAATCCTCCATTGATGTAAAAAGATGGCGTCTCGTGTTCCCGCCTAACAGGCCGTGATGCTTGTCGCCGTAAAGCTGGACACAAAAATTAGATTAATTATCATCAACATAATCAACAACTAAAGCAGAACAAAAAAATTAGATTAATTATCATCAACATAATCAACAACTAAAGCTGAACACAAAAATTAGATTAATTATCATCAACATAATCAACAACTAAAGCTGAACACAAAAATTAGATTAATTATCATCAACATAATCAACAACTAACTTGATCACAAAAATTAGATTAATTATCATCAACATAATCAACAACTAAATTGATCACAAAAATTAGATTAATTATCATCAACATAATTAACAACTAAAGCTGAACACAAGGAGTAGAAAAAAAAATTAAATTGTTTGATAAAACATCGATTCAAGTTAACAATGAATTAAAATCTGTAGCACAACAAACAAGGTAATTAAAAAGTCTTGTGACAATTTAAGCGCAATTTCCTTATGTTATCTAAAAATATCTCTGTCGTAGCGTAAATCAAGAGCAGGGTTAGTAAAACGATTGGTTAGTTATTAAAACGTTTTTTTATTAATTTTTGTTTCAGTATTTTACATTTTTATTTACAATAGAGTTACATGACTAAAAACCATTGCGCGCCTAGCTAACGAACGTGATGGCGCAGCCATTGAACGTGATGGCGCAGCTATTGAACGTGATGACGCGTGTGGTGTGGTTAGATAAACATTCCTACTAATTCGGTCCAAATTTTAATTAATTCAAACAATTTTTTGTGACCGAACGAAAGGATATTTTTGAAAACTTTCTTCGGCAATATTGTTCTAAAATATGGCAGAAATCGATTGGTAAATGTTTTAAGTCGCTAAGTGGTTTGGTTGCCGAGATATGGGCCAAAAACTGCATTTTTTCGAGTTTTTTTTTTGGCTTTTCCGGGAAATCCATGAAAGAAATCCGGAATTTTTATAGCCTATGTTCATCCTCGTAACTTGCTTAACATATTTGCTTTTGGAACTAGTCCTCGATATTGCTTCGTTGAGGAGGAGATACGACTTAAAGCTGCGGACACACATCCATTCCCAGAAAAGACGAGTTAATAAACGCAATTCTCCAGAATGGAAATTGCGCTAAAAAGTTCTCAATAAAACCAGACCTAACGCTAACCCTAACCCTAAACCTAGATTTTATACGAATTTTTAAAATTATTGAAGTAATTAATAGTATTATCTCCCCTGAGTCGCCTGTAGTCGGAGGGATCAATGTTTTTTGAAAATTACTGGTGTGGCACAATTTTCAATGTCTAGCTGTATAGGTAGTTCACAATTTTTCTGTACAGTTCTAACACACGTTCTTGATTTCCCTTTGTTTTACCTTATTTTTCAAGTTTTCAACCCGAAATATTTTTTATTGGCATCTCCAATAGTCAGGCAAACGCATTTAACTTCTAGTTATACAATTTTAATCAAATTGTCTTTGTATTAGACCGATGTTTACAAGTGGACTTATAAGTACCGTCAGGGCACACGGTCATTTTTTTAGGATTTTTAGAAAATGGCAGATTTTTTATGTGGAGTTACATAAATATTGTCTTGATGATTAATTATCTAAATGTACTCAAAAATGATATTTACACATTTATAAGAAGGTTAGTGTATGGTTTTTCTAAGAGATATTGTAATTACATGTTAATTTCTAGTAGTAAAAAAATAACAAGAATAAAGGTATCAGTTGAAGGCTCGTTTACAAGGCTTAGTATACTTCATTTGTATACCAAAGCCTAGTTCTAGTTGTAAGATTTAATTTGTTAGTTATATTTACTTCAATAAAATAAACTGTCTTGCCTACAACAACTAGCATTTACGTAATGTATACGTGTAGACTAGTAATAGTCCAAACTTCTGCATATAGTATAGACCTATAAGATAAATTTTAATCAGTAAACAAAAAAGAGTAGGCCACTACGGCTATCCTAAACACATTGCGCTCACTTCTATTTATGAACTTTACACTGTAGTTTAGACTTGTCATAACATTCTAGTAGGCTACAACTATACTAGTATTACTAGTAGTTGTGTGCTGAATGACTAAGCTTTTGTTTATGTGGCTCATAGTACTAGCTTTTGGAAGCTTCCAGCAAAAGCATGTTCATTCCGGCAACCGTTGCTACACCAGAAAACCACAGACAAGATTGAGGGAGCTTGACATGTCGACTACTTTTGCTGTGTTTGAGGTATAAGATGTGTTCCGACAGAAAATCGAGTAAAAATTTACTCAAAATATACTTTTGTGCTGTATTTATGTGTGAAAATTACAAAAAGTGATTGTTATAATGATTGCCATGTTATTAGTTAATAAATTGTATCGTTTGTTCCTGTTTTGTAAAAAAATGTTTGGAAAAAAAAATGTCCTACATTCCTGACGGTACTTATAAGTACCAATATAGGTTTGGGCCATTAAAAATTTATGAAACAAAATTTCCTTCGAGATATGCTTTGAATGTGCCAAAAGCAATATAGTAACACATTGTTTAAGTAAAAATTTAATTCAGAACATAATTCCGTAAATAAAGGGTTAAAGAAACTTCTATTTTAAAAACAAACTTAGATTTAAAAAAAGAACTACAACTGATCACTTTATAAATACATATTGATTAAACAAAACAACTGGACATTTTATAAATCAAATTTTATGTGTGTGTGAGTGTGTGTGTGTGTGTGTGTGTGTGTGAATGCTTACCTGGAACCGGAAATAAACATCAGCCTCAGTTAATGCCTTAATCAGCTGGACAGAGTGCTGGAAGTGGACATTGTCTGGTGAGAGAGAGAAAAGGCCGTCAGAGATTTTCATGTTTAGAACTTCTGCAGTACCGTGGATCAAAGTTAAGTATGAGTTAGGATATGCTATCCATGACTTACCGTCTGCAGTACCATGTACCAGCATGAAGTTTGACTTTTTGAAGTTATCAACTTTGTTTGATATATTGGCGTTCTGAAACAATGAGTGTAGGTTCAGGGCTAGGATTAGTGCTATGATATTATTACATATTAAGTTTTTTTTTTTACATCAGCCGTTTAATTTTTTTCTTGATAACCAGTGTACAGACACGAAAAGCTCAGTATTTTCGGTGCTTAGTTAGCAAAATGTCATGTAAATGTCATAAATATTAGACAAGGGTTTTAACAGATAATTTACTGACCCACGCTTTTTTTTAATAGTTATTTTATTAGTGGTGTTTTATTATAAATTTAAAGAAAATCATTTATTTTATACTTTTTAGTGCATTATGACACAAAAGCTTGATATTAAAACGTTTTCTATGCATTTTAACTTTCTCATATACGAGAAAATTTGACAGTCTTCTGCATTTTAATCGGGCAAAAATTAAAAATCCAGATTTATCAAAATTTCGGCGTTTTATGCGTAATCGAGTCGGAAAAATTGGGTTTTGCAATTCTGTCCGTGTGTGTGTGTATGTGTGTGTGTGTGTGTATGTCTGTAAACACGATAACTTGAGTTACATTACAGCTAGGTTGATTCAATTTCATATATAAGTATTTTATCAAATTAGTGGTTCTGTATCAACTTTTCAAAGATTTCCGGTAACCAAAAGTGGAACTTATTCTAATTTCAATATTTCAAAAGCCTATAACTTGAGTAGGCTACTGTTTCAGATAGATAATTGAAATTTCACATGTTAGTAAAATATCTAATAGTGTGTCTATTGGGTACATTTACTAATATTTAGGAAAAGAACTACGCTTTTCTTTATTATAATTTCAGTAGTAGAGTATTATTATATATTTAAAGAAAATAATTTATTTATCCTTTTTAGTGCATTATTACATAAAAGCCTGTTATTAACACGTTTTTTTGTGCATTTGTTCCAGTACTAAAAACTATTCGCACCAAATGAACACGATAATGCGCATATAATAGAGCGGAAATAGTAGTAGGACAGCCCATCAATTTCAGAAATTTTAATAAATTAATAAAAAATTGATTAGGCATCCAATTAAGTCAAATTTAATGTGAAATTGTATTGTTTTTATGTCTTGACCCACGTGCTGAATTCCAGAGATATTTGTTGGTTAGAAAATGCCCGAAATTTCGCTCGCCCGTTTCGATCTATGACCACATACAGACAGACAGACAAACAGAGGAAGCAAGTTAAATAAAAGCTTGTAAAAATGTAGCAAATTCCTACTTACTGTGTACCCTACAGTATTATCTTTAGGCAAACCCATGTAGCGTTCAGTATAGATAGAATCTGCCAAATATTTCATTTATAAATATATTTATTATGTGCAATTATTATTAAAATCTTATTTTTTAAAAGTATTAGGCTTATATTAATTTTGACTAAATTGTATTTCAAACATTTTGCTTTAATACTAATATTAACATCTATAATTCACTTGGGAGAACCTTTAATACATACGTGGCATTTTAACTCAACATTTAATTAAAATAATTTACATTTTATGCTCTTGCATTTTAAACATTAATTTTAATGTCTTCATACATACTCTGTGTTTACGTTATCAACATATATATATATATATATATATTTAACAATAAAGGTATTAAAAATTTAATATAAATACTGATATTTTATTTAATAAAAAAGTAAAGGCTATACAAAAAAAGTAATGTTAGGAAATAATTCTGTGAGGCCAAGACGTAAGAAGAAAATTCAGAATTTCTATGTAGGTCTACTTATTGTAACAGAAAATACTTGATTACATGTGTGCATTCGTTTTAATGTTTTCATTTTGTGCGCGAAATTTAATCAGAAATATTGGTTTTAAAACGTACACATTTATTTTTATTTTCTCGTATACGGAAAAACTATTGTAATATCACTCTCATAGTAAATGAGATTTTGACGGTTTTCAATGACTTACATTTCCCTATAGAGTAAGAGAGAGGGAGAGAGATAGATAGAGAGAGAAAGAGAGAGAGAGAGAGTCAGAGGCGTAGCGACCCTTCCCGGCGCCCGGGGACAAACTTTTCGATTTGCACCCCCCCCTCGAGATTTCGATTTACACCCCCCTCGAGATTTCGATTTGCACCCCCCCCCCCCCTCAAACTTTCGATTTGCACCCCCCTCAACCTTTCAATTTATTTTTGCAACCCATTTTGGCGCCCCCTAAGGTCGGCGCCCGGGGACATATGTCCCCCCCCCCCCCCCGCCCCCCCTCGCCACGCTACTGGAGAGAGTGAGAGAGAGAGAAAAAAGATAAATAGCATGAGAGAAAAAGAGAGAATAGAAAAAGTGCGAGAGAGAGAGAGATAGAGAGAGAGAGAGAGAGAGAGAGATACCAGTAAATTCGAACCTGAAGTTGTTAAGAGATATATTAAAACAGGAAGGATAAATATTGTTTGCGGATTTCTTAACCAGGTTTCTTAACTTAGTTACACTCTTATTTATCAGACTTTTAACATTAATTGATTAGTATTCTATATTGCTTTCATACTCCAAGTTTAATGTACATAGAGATTAAATTAAAAAGGAAAATAATGTCCTTTGTTGTATAACCTTAGGACGGATATAAAAAAATTCCCGCTTCCTCGGATAGAAACGATTCTATAAAACCGACCCTTATCCATTGAATAGAAAACAAACGATAGAAAACAAACGATAGAAAACAAACGATAGAAAACAAACGATAGAAAACAAACGATAGAAAACCTACCATAATACTTCCAGTCAGTAACAGGTGCCACAGAAATGCCACATTTAAAAACTGATTGGTCTCGAGTTAGAGCAGAGGCAGCCACGAACCCACCATAAGACTAAAATAATAAGAAACACAAAAATAATACAAAACACAAGAATAGTAAAAATACTAATATAATACAAAACATATAAATATTACAAAATACTAAGATAATACAAAATACTAAAATAATACAAAATATATATATAATACAAAATACTAAAATAATACAAAACACTAAACTAATACAAAATACTAAATAATTAAAATAATACTACAATAATACAAAACACTAAAATAATACAAAACACTAAAATAATACAAAATACTAAAATAATAAAAAAATACTTTAACAAAATAAAAACACTAAAATACTACAAAACAATCAAATGAAGCAAAACAATGAAAAAATGGAAAATATTAGAATAATTAAAACATTAAAGGAACTTAAAACATTATAATAGCCAATAAAAGAAAATATTTAAACAACACGAAATTTTAAAATAACCAAAAATAGAAAGAACACAAAAACTAACACAATGGTAGTTTGTTTTATAAAATGTTTATAAATTAAAATTACACTAAATATTTAAATATTATAAAACACTAAAACAATATAAAACATAAAGTAACACATAAACGTGACTTTACTTCATAATATATTTACAGTATATCTACAATATATCAATAATATATTGATAATATATCTTTATAATATATTTATCATATATATTTATAATATACTAGCGTACCCATCCACGCGCGTTGCCGCGGAAATAGAAGAAAGTCTGACGAAATATATAAGAATGGTTTCATCCATGCGTTACCAATCCTATATTCTTAGACGCGTGACCTTGTTTTTTAAAACTGAGTTATTTACATGTAAACAATGCCAGCGCTTGGATCATAAATATCGGGACACGAAAACCTTGAGTGTACGTTAATCACTCACCGAAATAATGAGGTATAACACACTTAGGTGACCGCCCATGCATCAGGGACGTATAGGGGCGCTCTCGGGTGCCCCAGATTACACTACCGCAGAGACACTGCGTACGGCACGTGCTTCCTTAAAACTAACATAAGCGCCATAGTGCTCACAGGATAACCCAGAGCGCTACATAGCATCCTGAAACAATGATGCAGATTGCATCATTCGCTAAAGTGACACAAATCAACAGGGTTTTTTCTTTAATACATAAAAAACAAAGTTTGACGAGTTAAACATCAGTGTGACTGATGCAATTCGTTAGCGTTACTAATGGTGTATTATTAGATGCTCGACCTCAGTTTATGATTGGATCGTCTAAAAATATACGCTAATATTGCATTATTCGCAAAGTCACAAAATTGTTTGGATTTTTTTACTGACAAAAGGAAAAAAACCCAGTTAATAATCTAACCTTGGTTAATTTGTGTGATTATTTTTAAAAAAAATGTATTACATGGCCCTCAGCGGCCCACGTGAGCCTTGGGGGCCGAAACTGAAATATTTGTTCGCAGCCAAATTGCACCATACCGTGGCGCCGGCGGACACGCCTGATTTAATTTAGTGAGCGACTGTAACGCCCCATCTTATCCATTCTCTATCACAATGTTTAGAACGAACGTAGTTGCCATAGCGCTCACGGGAAAGACCAGGGCGCCAAATTGAATCCTGCCGGGGGCCGCCCTTGCGTAATTAAATCCCCCCCCCAGAAATAACCACCTCGGGGGTATTCATCAACTCACTAAAGTTTTATGGCACACTGATAAACGGTGTCTAGCCTTATCCGACTTTCATTTTTTAAAATATATCTTATATAGAGAAAAATCGCATCCTCCCGGGGCGCATCCCTTGCGAAATTAAAAATGATTTTTTTTTTACATAAACCTCACCTGGAGTGTTCTAATCTGCTCCCCAATGTTTGATATCGATCGGATGAACGGTGTGAAACCGAAATCGACTTTTATTAATTTTTTAATATACCGTATATAGAGAAAAGTCGAACCCTCCCGGGGCGCCGCCCTTGCGAAATTAAATTAGATTTGTTTTGCAGAAACCTTCCCTGGAGTGTTCATATCAACTCCCCAAAGTTTAACGACGATCGGGTGAACGGTGTGAAACCGCAGTCGACTTTTATTTTTATATACCGTATAAAGAGAAAAAAAACAAATCGCGCCCTACCGGGGCGCCACCCTGCGAATTTGAATTTTTTTTTCGCAGAAACCTCCCCAGGAATATTCTCGACAACTTCCCAAAGTTTCACGGGGATGTGATGAGAGGTGCAGCGATGCACAAAAGACAGACAGACAGACAGACAAACACACGCACACACGCACACACACACACAAACACACATACATTGCTTTATATATATATATAGATTTTTAAAGAAAAATAACTCAAAAAGTAGGCATTAAACTAAGTTTGAAATAAATTTACAAAAATAAATACACAATTCAACCATTAGACTGTACACATAACTATGATACCTACTTAAAACGATGAAATTATGTTTTTAACAAAAAAGAATAAAAACATACCCATCCCCATATAGCCATATTGGTCTGGTCTATGTAATGATGTGTACCAAAATATCTGTAAAAAAACCGTGAGAACGTATTAGACGACGGGTCGAAGAGAATTCTACATATTGTAAAAATACTACAGATTGTATAAATACTACATATTGTATAGATACTACATATTGTATAGATAATACAAATTGTAAAGGTACTACGGATTATACAGATACTACAGATTGTAAAGATACATAGATTGTATAGTATAGAGATTTAGGCTGGTCTAGACTACATGATTTCTAATTAGCATTTATCAGTTTGATTTTTAGTCTCATTCTTTTAATAAAAAAACCCACGCTTATATCAAAGCTCATGTCAGTGCTCATGTCAGTGCTAATATCAATGCTCATGTCAGTGCTAATGTCAGCACAGAAAGAAACTTGATATCATCAACCCAAGATGACGTCATGATCGGACGGTAAAGCGCACGCCTGCTAACCAGAGTTTTTTCCTGGCATCTCTTGGGGGGGGGGGGGGAAAGGCTGCCCCCCCCCCTCCTCGAAGAAAGTCTACCGCCCCCAGAACGAAATGAAATTTATATAGAAAATATATATTTTGAACAGGGTCCGCCCCCCACTCGAAAAAAGTCTACCGTCCCCCCCCCCCCCCCCGAATAAAAAATTCTGGAAGAAACACTGCTGCTAACCCAAATGTTTTGATCGCCGAGTTCACTCAACTCTAATGGGTACCTGACTCACGTTAGAAAAAGTAAATGCGGCTAGAAATACTATCACCCTGTACTTACCACACTATCACTTTATATGCCAAGGTCTCATATTCGAATTCTTCTTTCCCTTCGAACACCAGGTTCAAAAGGCTAATCTTAATCAACTTGTAAATTAATTGTGAGCTTTAACTATAAATAGATTTGGACTAACAAGAGTTTATGGACTAGAGCTAAGAGGGAAATGTAGAATGAAAGTGTTGGAATATATTGGGAGGCTCAATGATGGAATGGTGGAATGGTGGGATGATGGAATGGTGGAATGATGGAATGGTGGAATGATGGAATGGTGGAATGATGGAATGGTGGAATGGTGGGATGGTGGAATGATGGAATGGTGGAATGGTGGAATGGTGGGATGGTGGAGTGATGGAATGGTGGAATAGTGGGATGGTGGAATGGTGGGATGGTGGGATGGTGGAATGGTGGGATGGTGGAATGGTGGGATGATAGAATGGTGGAATGGTGGGATGGTGGAATGATGGAATGATGGAATGGTGGAATGGTGGAATGATGGAATGATGGAATGGTGAAATGGTGGAAGTTTCGAACACTTCACCTAAAATTTGCAGTGCAAAGGTATAAGCTGATGTGTTACAATGGTTAGACTTCAACATTTCAAAACTTCATACTTGATTTAGGCAATACATTAAAAAAACAACAACAAAAACTATGTGCATAATTATGGTAACCATAACATAATCTGGATAAGCCAAAACCTAATAGAATTCATTCATTATAATGTTCTTACTCTAAGAAGTGGGCGGTCCATGAATTAGGATTAAGGATTTAGGTGCCTAACCCTATAATCTGTTCTAGCCCCTAACTCTAAAATTGCAAGGAATGTTCTTACTCTGCTGCCTTAATGGAATCATCAACTTCACGTGTTCCCAGGTTCCGGTAGATGGTGTGCAGAAATTTATCGCCACGACCAGAAGTCCCTGGAGCATCGACTTTGGCGTAGATAAAATCCCTGGAGCTGACAAGGTAGGTCATCCAGTCTATGGTGTACTTCTCTTTGACTTCTTGGGTACCAGGGCCGCCATAGCTGAAAAATATGGTCAGACCTCGAGAGGTTAGGTTAGGTTAGGTTAGGTTAGATTAGGTTAGGTTAGGTTTAGTTGGGTTAGGTTAGGTTTGGTTAGGTTAAGATATGTTAAGTTAGGTTAGGTTAGGTTAGGTTAGGTTAGGTTAAGTTGGGTTAGGTTAGGTTAGGTTATGTTAGATTAAGTTGGGTTAGGTTAGGTTAGGTTTGGTTAGGTTAGGTTAGATTAGATTAGGTTAGCTTAGGTTATGTTAGGTTAGGTTAGGCTAGGCTAGGCTAGGCTAGGCTAAGTTAGGTTAGGTTAGGTTAGGCTAGATTAGGTTAGGTTTGGTTAGGTTAAGATATGTTAAGTTAGGCTAGGTTAGGTAAGTTTGGTTAGGTTAGGTTTAGTTAGGTTAGGTTAGGTTAGGTTAGGTTAAGTTAGATTAAGTTGGGTTAGGTTAGGTTAGGTTAGGTTTGGTTAGGTTAGGTTAGGTTAGGTTAGCTTAGGTTAGGTTAGGTTAGGCTAGGCTAGGTTAGGTTAGGTTAGGCTAGGTAAGGTTAGGTTAGGTTAGGTTAGGTTAGGTTAGGTTAGGTTAGGTTATGTTAGATTACGTTGGGTTAGGTTAGGTTAGGTGAGGTTTTGTTAGATTAAGTTGGGTTAGGTTAGGTTAGGTTAGGTTATGTTATGTTATATTAAGTTGGGTTAGGTTAGGTTAGGTTTGGTTAGGTTTGGTTAGGTTAGGTTAAGTTTGGTTAGGTTAAGTTGGGTTAGGTTAGGTTAGGTTAGGTTAAGTTATGTTAGATTAAGTTGGTTAGGTTAGATTAGATTAGGTTAGGTTAGGTTAGGTTAGGTTAGGCTAGGCTAGGCTAGTTTAGGTTAGGTTAGGTTAGGTTAGGTTAGGCTAGGCTAGGTTAAGTTAAGTTAGGTTAGGTTAGGTTAGGTTAGGTTAGGTTAGGTTAGGTTAGGTTAGGTTAGCTTAGCTTAGCTTAGCTTAGCTTAGCTTAGGTTAGGTTAGGTTAGGTTAGGTTAGGTTAGGCTAGGGTAGGTTAGGTTTGATTAGGTTAGGATATGATAAGTTAGTCTAGGTTAGGCTAGGTAAGTTTGTTTAGGTTAGTTTAGCTTAGCTTAGTTTAGTTTAGCTTAGGTTTGATTAGGTTAGGGTAGGTTAGGTTTGGTTAGGTTAGGATAGGTTAAGTTAAGTTAAGTTAGGCTAGGTTAGATTAGGTTAGGTTAGGTTAGCTTAGTTTAGTTTAGGTTTGGTTAGGTAAGTTGGGTTAGGTTAGGTTTGGTTAGGTAAGTTGGGTTAGGTTAGGTTTGGTTAGGTTAGAGTTGAGTTAGAATTTGTGTAGAATAGAATTAGTATTGTGTGTAAGATAAAATTATATTATTTGAATCACACATTTAGAACAAGTGGGTATTTGACTCACACATTTAGAACAAGTGGGTATTTGACTCACACATTTAGAACAAGTGGGTATTTGACTCACACATTTAGAACAAGTGGGTATTTGACTCACACATTTAGAACAAGTGGGTATTTGACTCACAAATTTAGAACAAGTGGGTATTTGACTCACACATTTAGAACAAGTGGGTATTTGACTCACACATTTAGAACAAGTGGGTATTTGAATCACACATTTACAACAAGTGGGTATTTGACTCACACATTTAGAACAAGTGGGTATTTGACTCACACATTTAGAACAAGTGGGTATTTGACTCACACATTTAGAACAAGTGGGTATTTGACTCACACATTTAGAACAAGTGGGTATTTGAATCACACATTTAGAACAAGTGGGTATTTGACTCACACATTTAGAACAAGTGGGTACGTTATAATCTCCTCTTCTTTAAGATGTGGCGGCAGCCAGAGCTTCCCCCACAATTCTAAGATTTATACAAGCAATAAATAATTAGTTGATTGTTTACATCATGGAAACATAAATGATTATTTGACAACCTATAATAAAAATAAAAGCATTTTTGTCCATAAATTGACAAAATATAGCAAGGAAATTTTTAAAAAATCGATATTTTAAAAAAATCGATATTTTGAAAAAAGTGTGTCGGCAAAGCTCAGTTTATCGATATTGTCTGTTAGTCCGTTTGTCTCTATGTATTTTTGTATGTATGTATAAAGACTGTACCTGAGATATATGGCCGAAATTTTATATATAAGTATTACATCCTATTCCTGGATTTCGATACAATTTTGACCCATTTTCGGTAACAAAAATTTTAACTTTATTTTCACGTGAAACAAAAACTGTAGTACTTTTTCAATTATCTAAACACATTTGTAATATAATTTTATAGACCGATAGATCTACAGACCAAATAGATCTACAGACCAAATAGATCTACAGACCAAATAGATCTACAGACCAAATAGATCTACAGACCAAATAGATCTACAGACCAAATAGATCTACAGACCAAATAGATCTACAGACCAATAGATCTACAGGCCAATAGATCTACAGACCAAATAGACCAACAGACCGAATAGATCTACAGACCAAATAGATCTACAGACCAAATAGATCTACAGACCAAATAGATCTACAGACCAATAGATCTACAGACCAAATAGATCTACAGACCAAATAGATCTACAGACCAGTACATCTACAGACCAAAAAGATCTACAGACCAAATAGATCTACAGACCAATAGATCTACAGACCAATAGATCTACAGACCAAATAGATCTACAGACCAAATAGATCTACAGACCAAATAGATCTACAGACCAAATAGATCTACAGACCAAATAGATCTACAGACCAAATAGATCTACAGACCAAATAGATCTACATACCAAATAGATCTACAGACCAAATAGATCTACAGACCAAATAGATCTACAGACCAAATAGATCTACAGACCAATAGATCTACAGACCAAATAGATCTACAGACCAAATAGATCTACAGACCAAATAGATCTACAGACCAATAGATCTACAGACCAAATAGATCTACAGACCAAAAAGATCTACAGAACAAATAGATCTACAGACCAAATAGATCTACAGACCAAATAGATCTACAGGCCAATAGATCTACAGACCAAATAGACCAACATACCAAATAGATCTACAGACCAGTACATCTACAGACCAAATAGATCTACAGACCAAATAGATCTACAGACCAAATAGACCAACAGACCAATAGATCTACAGACCAAATAGACCAACAGACCAATAGATCTACAGACCAAATAGACCAACAGACCAATAGATCTACAGACCAAATAGATCTACAGACCTAATAGACCAACAGACCAAATAGATCTACAGACCAAATAGATCTACAGACCAAATAGACAAACAGACCAAATAGATCTATAGACAAAATAGATCGACAGACCAAATAGATCAACAGACCAAATAGATCTACAGGCCAATAGATCTACAGACCAAAAACACCATCAGACCAATAGATCTACAGACCAAATAGACCAACAGACCAATAGATCTACAGACCGAATAGACCAACAGACCAATAGATCAACAGACCACATACACCAACAGACCAATAGATCTACAGACCAAATAGATCTACAGACCAAATAGACCAACAGACCAAACAGATCTACAGACCAAATAGATCTACAGACCAAATAGATCTACAGACCAAATAGACCAACAGACCAATAGATCTACAGACCAAATAGACCAACAGACCAAATAGATCTACATACCAAATAGATCTACAGGCCAATAGATCTACAGACCAAATAACCCAACAGACCAATAGATCTACAGACCAAATAGATCTACAGATCAAATAGACCAACAGACCAAATAGATCTACAGACCAAATAGATCTACAGACCAAATAGATCTACAGACCAAATAGATCTACAGACCAAATAGATCTACAGACCAAATAGACCAACAGACCAATAGATCTACAGACTAAATAGACCAACAGACCAATAGATCTACAGACCAAATAGATCTACAGACCAAATAGACCAACAGACCAAATAGATCTACAGGCCAATAGATCTACAGACCAAATAGACCAACAGACCAAATAGATCTACAGACCAATGGATCTACAGACCAAATAGATCTACAGACCAAATAGACCAACAGACCAAATAGATCTACAGACCAATGGATCTACAGACCAAATAGATCTACAGACCAAATAGATCTACAGACCAATGGATCTACAGACCAAATAGATCTACAGACCAAATAGACCAACAGACCAAATAGATCTACAGACCAATAGATCTACAGACCAAATAGATCTACAGACCAAATAGATCTACAGACCAAATAGATCTACAGACCAATGGATCTACAGACCAAATAGATCTACAGACCAAATAGATCTACAGACCAATAGATCTACAGCCCAAATAGATCTACAGACCAAATAGATCTACAGACCAAATAGATCTACAGACCAATGGATCTACAGACCAAATAGATCTACAGACCAAATAGACCAACAGACCAATAGATCTACAGACCAAATAGATCTACAGACCAAATATATCTAAAGACCGAATAGAACTACAGACCAAATAGATCTACAGACCAAATAGATCTACAGACCGAATAGATCTAAAGACCGAATAGATCTACAGACCAAATAGATCTACAGACCAAATAGATCTACAGACCAAATAGATCTACAGACCAAATAGATCTAAAGACCGAATAGATCTACAGACCAAATAGATCTACAGACCAAATAGATCTAAAGACCGAATAGATCTACAGACCAAATAGATCTACAGACCAAATAGATCTAAAGACCGAATAGATCTACAGACCAAATAGATCTACAGACCAATAGATCTACAGACCAAATAGATCTACAGACCAAATAGATCTACAGACCAAATAGATCTACAGACCAAATAGATCTACAGACCAAATAGATCTACAGACCAAATAGATCTACAGACCAATAGATCTACAGACCAAATAGATCTACAGACCGAATAGATCTAAAGACCGAATAGATCTACAGACCAAATAGAACAACAGACCAATAGATCTACAGACCAAATAGATCTACAGACCAAATAGATCTACAGACCAAATAGATCTACAGACCAATAGATCTACAGACCAAATAGACCAACAGACCAATAGATCTACAGACCAAATAGATCTACAGACCAAATAGATCTACAGACCAAATAGATCTACAGACCAAATAGATCTACAGACCAAATAGATCTACAGACCAAATAGATCTACAGACCAATAGATCTACAGACCAAATAGATCTACAGACCAAATAGATCTACAGACCAAATAGATCTACAGACCAAATAGATCTACAGACCAAATAGATCTACAGACCAAATAGATCTACAGACCAAATAGATCTACAGACCAAATAGATCTACAGACCAAATAGATCTACAGACCAAATAGATCTACAGACCAAATAGATCTACAGACCAAATAGATCTACAGACCAAATAGATCTACAGACCAAATAGATCTACAGACCAAATAGATCTACAGACCGATAGATCTACAGACCAAATAGACCAACAGACCAATAGATCTACAGACCAAATAGACCAACAGACCAATAGATCTACAGACCAAATAGATCTACAGACCAAATAGATCTACAGACCAAATAGATCTACAGACCAAATAGATCTACAGACCAAATAGATCTACAGACCAAATAGATCTACAGAACAAATAGATCTACAGACCAAATAGATCTACAGACCAATAGATCTACAGACCAAATAGATCTACAGACCAAATAGATCTACAGACCAAATAGATCTACAGACCAAATAGATCTACAGACCAATAGATCTACAGACCAAATAGATCTACAGACCAAATAGATCTACAGACCAAATAGATCTAGAGACCAAATAGATCTACAGACCAAATAGATCTACAGACCAAATAGATCTACAGACCAAATAGATCTAAAGACCGAATAGATCTACAGACCAAATAGATCTACAGACCAAATAGATCTACAGACCAAATAGATCTACAGACCGATAGATCTACAGACCAAATAGACCAACAGACCAATAGATCTACAGACCAAATAGATCTACAGACCAATAGATCTACAGACCAAATAGATCTACAGACCGATAGACCAACAGACCAAATAGACCAACAGACCAATAGATCTACAGACCAAATAGATCTACAGACAAATAGATCTACAGACCAAATAGATCTACAGACCAATAGATCTACAGACCAAATAGATCTACAGACCAAATAGATCTACAGACCGATAGACCAACAGACCAAATTGACCAACAGACCAATAGATCTACAGACCAAATAGATCTACAGACCGATAGATCTACAGACCAATCGTCCCCTCAGTGACAGTATTATCTTGTTCTAACTACAAATTTTAATTTTTTCGAAAAACTCGACCCTATGATGTAGAAAAGCACTATATTCAATCTCCACTTATTCACCTGACTCTAAGTCATCTGCTTCCTACCAAACTTTTCAATTTGACATTGTTCTAACTACAAGTTGACGCATTTGGCCAGTATAATCTTGTTCTATGTCAATTTTATAATATGATTTTGTTCTAACAGTATATAATTATTGTATAAATTTTCTTTGGAGACGCTAGAATAATAATTATAATGTTCTATGTCCGATTCTGCCAATGAAATTAGCTGTTTAAGTCATGTGACTTGTCCGTCGTTGATCAAAATCGCGGCGTGTGAACATCTTTTAGTCGATTTTGGTTGTCATGCAAATAAACTGACTGAATTACCAGATCCTGAATCGTAAGTATATTTATCTTTTATATGTTGTCTTAACTGTGTTATTTTACACATATTTAGTTCAAAGTTATTTTGTTAAAATATCTTAATTGATAATAGGCCTAATATTGTTAATGTATACCGTAGTATACGCCTATACTAATTGTATTGTTTAGTAGTATTACTTTGTATTTATATTATCAAAATCATAATGAGGAGGTGTTCCAATATATGGATGATGAAAACAATGTCTTTGTTACAGATCAAAATGTGAAGTAATTCATTGTTAGTCTTAAAACCATGAATATGTTTGTTCTTGGTTTTTCAGTTTGGGGGGAAGGAATAAGTCCTTCTGTTTTTGCACTTTGTACTGATGTAGTCTATCTTTATTTCTATCCACAGAGAAGTGCAAAAGAGAACAATAAAAACAACAGAGAGCTGGTAATGCAGTGTCAATGATATGGGTATTGGCGCTGCCTGTATTGAAGTTGCGCAGCATCATTATGAGAAAGGAAACAGTGTTTATGTATATTCTCAATATTCAATTACAAGATTGGTTGTTTTTGCATAAGGGGCTGTGTATATTGTGTAAAATTAATACATTATTTTTTAAGCTAATTCCTGAGTTTTGCATTTATTGTATTAATAATTTAATTCCAGTTGTATCACAAGGCTGGGGGCGTGGTGTGATCCGCACGTGACGCCATTTAGAGGGTGACACCAATATAAAAAACACTAAAATTTACAGTCAATATAATTCTTTATCCAGTTAATCTTAAAATAAAATTATAGGGTAGAGGGGTGACGTAAAAACAAAAATGTAAAATTGTAAGAAGGTGGAGGGTTGACACCCTCAGTTACCACACCGAGTGTCACCCTAACTAGACTCGCCACTGACTAAATCAAATTATGTTGATGTATGCAGATAACCCAAAGTTACAGAATAAACTTTACATTTTAATGCACAAACCCACTTATAAAGAACTGTAAAAACATTACATGTCATGTAATGTACTCTATTATATACATTTTGCCATGGGAGTGATACAAAGTGAAAATTAATGACCAAGGACAGTCAGATTTACAAAAAGAAGATATTACTCATACAAAAGTATATTATTACTCATAAAAAAGTGCATTACATTTCTGGAAATCTATTGAAACTGGCTGTAAAAAAAACAAAATTTGACTAAGAACATTATACAATTTTCTTATCCTGATCTAGGTGATAGTATTTTGTTCTATCTCAAAAGTGAAAAATAATTATTTTGGGCTTCTATTGCTACATAAAGTCATAAAAATAGCATCAATGCTCATTGTTTAATGCCCTTTAACATTTTATAAAAAAAAAATGTGTTTAAAATATTTTTAATAGGGAAATCAGACCCATGAAACTTCAAATGCGTTTTTCTCAAAACTACATTTTGGGAGATAGAACAAGATAATACTAGTGGGACGCATTAGATCTACAGACCAAATAGATCTACAGACCGGTTCCATGACAAATGATCTCAGGACAAATGATCTCAAACAAAATATCTCACGGATAAATGATCTCAGGACAAATGACCTCACGGACAAATGATCTCACGGACAAAAGATACCAGAACAAAATATATCAGGACAAATGATATCATGGACAATTGATCTCAGACAAAATATCTCAGACAAAATATCTCACAGCAAAATTTTAATAGTGTAGTTGATGATTTTAGTTGATCTGATTTTTTTTATTGACTGTCTACAGACCAAATAGATCTACAGACCAAATAGATCTAGAGACCAAATAGATCTAGAGACCTTACATCTACAGACTAAATAGATCTATAGACCAGTACATCTACAGACCAAATAGATCTACAGACCAAATAGATCTACAGACCAAATAGATCTAGAGACCAAATAGATCTACAGACCAAATAGATCTACAGACCAAATAGATCTAGAGACCAAATAGATCTAGAGACCAAATAGATCTACAGACCAAATAGATCTACAGACCAAATAGATCTACAGACCAAATAGATCTACAGACCAAATAGATCTACAGACCAAATAGATCTAGAGACCTTACATCTACAGACCATTTGATCTACATACGTTTCTTTTAATTTTAGATTTTTCATTGTTTGGAAGTGGTTCTTTACTTGTGTTTTTAAAAAAATACTTCAGTGGGTTCCATGACGAATGATCACAGTACAAAGTATATCAGGACAAATGATTTCATGGACAAATTATCTCAGAAAAAAAAAATACAAAGTAATCAAATGTATTAAAATGAATAGAAAACTTACTTTCATCATTTATAGTAATTTGATCATACTTTATAACAGGCATGGCTTTCTTTGAAATAATTTCTCCGAATTCTGTGTTATTTTCCATATTCCTTACTAAAAACAAAACAAAGTTCTGCTCAAATTCCATTGAAAAATACTTGAAAAATTATTTTTCTTTCTTTCTTACTAAACTCTAAATGATTCTCAACACTGAAAATATCAAAGAATCTTGATCTTACCTTCAGTACCGTTAATTGACATCAATAGGTAGATTGGTATGCCGGGACCCAAACAGCTTAAAATGTAAAATTCGGAACTATCTGACATGGATACTTCATTGTATTGGCAGTTTTCACTGAGCTCACACGTTAGACATTGAGCAATACCCTTACCGCCAGTCACTGCAACACTGAACAATTAGAAGAATACAGAGTAGGGTTAGTGTTAACTATAATCTCTACCACACAATTAGAATAATTGAGATACACTCAGCTAATTTTTTGTTTTTACCTGAAGAGATGCAATCGTCTTGGGTCTAGCTCTGGACTTAGAAAATACCTGCAAATCGTGAAGAATATTATCTTAAAAATGATTAGTTTTCGTTTAAAAATGTGTACATCTTTTCCATAATTAAAGTTGATTCACTCAATTTAAACTATCACTAGCGTAGCGTCGCGGGGTTATGAAAACCTTCTGTGTATGTTGATTATTCTTCGGCCACAGGTTTCAGGGGCTGTGGGTGCGACCCCTGTTCGGTTCAACCGTCCTAGTGGTCCACAGTCTGTCTATTATAGAGGTAGTAACCTCACAACATTTTCTAGTGGTCCACAGTCTGTCTATTATAGAGGTAGTAACCTCACAACATTTTCTAGTGGTCCACAGTCTGTCTATTATAGAGGTAGTAACCTCACAACATTTTCACCCCATTAGCGGACTCAAGTTGCTGAGATATTCTCTGGAACTTTCGGGGCGCCAATGCGTAAATTGATGCCGAAGTGCCATAGGGCGCCCCCGGTTAGTTTTGGTCATCGATTACATCACAGTATCTCTACTGGAGTAAGCTAATAAAACCAAATGTAGGTGGTGTAGTGTTCTGGGGGGGGGCACGATATACTGGTGCAGTTTGAATTAAATCACGTACAACCGCTGACGCCTTTGCTACATGCAGTGACATCACTAGCCAACCTTTCAAAAATCACAAATTTAAAAAAATACTTCTGTCTGTCTGTCTTTAAGTGGATAGACGAGATGTAACATGGATAGACGAGAATGATGTAACATGTGATAGAATTGATGTAACATGTGCTTTAAGTGGATAGACGAGAATGATGTAACATGTGATAGAATTGATGTAACATGTGCTTTAAGTGTATAGAAATGATGTAACATGTGCTTTAAGTGTATAGAAATGATGTAACATGTGCTTACAGTGTATCCGATTTGTCATCGTAGCTTATAAGTTTTGTCACCTCCCACATGCCATGTGTCAGGAACGTTACTTGATCAGTCTGTTCATTGGGCTAAAATATAAAGTTAATGATTTGTTGAAAATGTAAGATCAGTCTGTTCATTGGGCTAAAATATAAAGTTAATGATTTGTTGAAAATGTAAGATCAGTCTGTTCATTGGGCTAAAATATAAAGTTAATGATTTGTTGAAAATGTAAGATCAGTCTGTTCATTGGGCTAAAATATAAAGTTAATGATTTGTTGAAAATGTAAGATCAGTCTGTTCATTGGGCTAAAATATAAAGTTAATGATTTGTTGAAAATGTAAGATCAGTCTGTTCATTGGGCTAAAATATAAAGTTAATGATTTGTTGAAAATGTAAGATCAGTCTGTTCATTGGGCTAAAATATAAAGTTAATGATTTGTTGAAAATGTAAGATCAGTCTGTTCATTGGGCTAAAATATAAAGTTAATGATTTGTTGAAAATGTAAGATCAGTCTGTTCATTGGGCTAAAATATAAAGTTAATGATTTGTTGAAAATGTAAGATCAGTCTGTTCATTGGGCTAAAATATAAAGTTAATGATTTGTTGAAAATGTAAGATCAGTCTGTTCATTGGGCTAAAATATAAAGTTAATGATTTGTTGAAAATGTAAGATCAGTCTGTTCATTGGGCTAAAATATAAAGTTAATGATTTGTTGAAAATGTAAGATCAGTCTGTTCATTGGGCTAAAATATAAAGTTAATGATTTGTTGAAAATGTAAGATCAGTCTGTTCATTGGGCTAAAATATAAAGTTAATGATTTGTTGAAAATGTAAGATCAGTCTGTTCATTGGGCTAAAATATAAAGTTAATGATTTGTTGAAAATGTAAGATCAGTCTGTTCATTGGGCTAAAATATAAAGTTAATGATTTGTTGAAAATGTAAGATCAGTCTGTTCATTGGGCTAAAATATAAAGTTAATGATTTGTTGAAAATGTAAGATCAGTCTGTTCATTGGGCTAAAATATAAAGTTAATGATTTGTTGAAAATGTAAGATCAGTCTGTTCATTGGGCTAAAATATAAAGTTAATGATTTATTGAAAATGTAAGATCAGTCTGTTCATTGGGCTAAAATATAAAGTTAATGATTTGTTGAAAATGTAAGATCAGTCTGTTCATTGGGCTAAAATATAAAGTTAATGATTTGTTGAAAATGTAAGATCAGTCTGTTCATTGGGCTAAAACATAAAGTTAATGATTTGTTGAAAATGTAAGATCAGTCTTTTCATTGGGCTAAAATGTAAAGTTAATGATTTGTTGAAAATGTAAGATCAGTCTTTTCATTGGGCTAAAATATAAAGTTAATGATTTGTTGAAAATGTAAGATCAGTCTTTTCATTGGGCTAAAATATAAAAAATAAAAAAAATGAATTACATTTGCCTTTTGCCTTATTTTGCTTTTGCGTTATGCTATTTTTAAAATTAGTTTCAGTGTGAAATTTTCCAGTTTGTTTCATGTGAGGTCATTCTGTGTGCCCGTGAAACGTTATTATTTTTTTTTTACTTCTATTTTCTCTTGATCGTTCTTGCCAGAAACACCGACAGATTAGTGAAATTATTAAAGACAGAAGACTAGATCAAGTGAAGTCTTTTTCTATAAGCCGAAACAAAACCGAAATCCCAACATCAACCTCAAGTTTAAACGGAAAGGAAATTGTCGTTAAGCACTGCATTTTAATTGGATCCTGAAATTTTGCCGGATACGGAAATTCAAGCAATATGAGAGAAATTTAACCGGAGACAAAATTATATAGAAAAAAATATTTTTTATCAGGAATGAGTAATTTAACCGGATCCGGAAATTTTACCGGATGGATACGGAAATTGAGGCGGAAAGGGAAATTTAACAAAAACGGAGATTTTTACCGGATCCTTAAATTGAGCCGTATACTGAAATTTAGAATTATAGGTACGAAATTTAACCTAAGACGGAATTTTATTCCGAACCGTCATTTTAAGTTAATCCGGATAGGAAATAATTTTGTTTGCCGGAAATGATAATTAAAATAAAAAAGGAATACAAAAAGAAATGTAAAGTTATCCGGAAACAGACATTTTAACCGGAGACTGAAATTAAATCGCAACCTGAAATTTAACAAAAATCGGACCTTAGTAGGTACACAATTTAATTGGAAACGTAACTATTTTCAGGCATTTTTACCTGATCCGGAAATCTAAACCGGAAATAAAAACCCTAATAACCTTAACCTCAACCATAGTCTTAATAATTACGCTTACTGTGTTTTTCCCTTGTATATCGACATTCACTTCTAAAATTAGACAAATAAATTTGGCGTTTAATTTTGTGTCTCTATAATCAATGACGTCGTTGTTATAGGCTTAAAAGCTGGCTCAAGATGGTGCCAGAAAGCATATTTTTCAACCAAAATTGAATATTTTATAACATTTGAGAAATAAGTAAGGCTAGAAATATTCAAACAAAAAACTTTTAATTTGGACTAGTAGAATAAGGGTGTCGTGCTGATGGGGATGTTATATAGTATTTAATATCGACGAACATCTACGCAATACCCAATTGACAGCTATTGTGTATTTTGGAAAACAATCGTTGTGACTCTCATTATTTTTTTGAAAACAATTGTTGTGACTCTAATTATTTTTTGGAAAACAATTGCTGTGACTAATTATTTTTTGGAAAACAATTGTTGTGACTCTCATTATTTTACTTTCCCTGACCACCCCAGTTGACTTGAAGAAGGGGTTGAGGGCGGATTTTTTAAATATTTGAAAAAAAAAGTGTAATCGATGGTTCCCCAACGGCTTTAATTTTTTAAATGTAACAATAATCCTATCGCCTGCCATATTTTTTAAAAGATTAAAAGAATCATGCATGCAGACCACTTTTAAGATTAGACAAATAAATTAGGCGGTAATGCTATTGTCTTTCTTATCAAGTATCGATGGTATCATTATTATTGTGTATTGTTTTCGGCATTAGATTATAAATAGTTTAACTCTAGAATCAGTGGAGTCATTTTATTGTGTATACTTTTCCGGCATTAAAACTTTGCATGTTTCATTTCGTTCAATTCCTATTAGTTCTATGTGACGTCACTATTGTTCCCTGTTAAACTTTTCATGTTACTTTTGTTTTTTCTAGATTGTTCTTGTCGGAAAGACGGACATACATTATAGCGTAACTATTCTATATTTTGAAGATAAGGCGAACATAATTAATTTACCTTTACTTCTATCATAGCTGCGTGCTTATAAAATTCAGCGTTGTCTTCTTTTCGAGGAAGAATTGTAAAATACCTGGAGCCATTTCTACCCACCAAAACTTTCTCTAACTGCAAAGAAAAAAAAACGTTGAATACAGGACGAGATGACATGTATATGCACAAACATAAAGCCACATGCAGCCACATATGAAGCACTAGGATTTCATTCTAATAAAAAAAACATTAAAAAACGTTTAACTAACAAGCTTTTATGAAATAATGCACTTTAAAGGAGAAAACAAAACATTTTCTGTAAATTTAATAATAAACTAGCTGAAAAAGAAAATCGTGAATAGCTATATTATGTATTGAATACCTTTAATAGAATTTAAGAAGCGACCTATGCTTTTATATTTGTAATTTAAATAGTAGTTCATTATTATACTTAAAGAAAATATTTATCTTCTCCTTTTTAGTGAATGATTAATCTAAAGATTATTTTTTTTAAACGTTTATTTTTTTTTTTGCCAATATGTAAACCTTTATGAACTGGTCTGTAAAGTTTTGTTACTGTAAAATATGTTGTCATTTGTTTTCCCTAACGTGCGTTAGGTACCCATCAGATTTGGGTGGACTCAGGGACGGTCTACTGACTTGCAACCGGATTCGAACTCGTAACTTACGGGTTAGCAGCCCAGTTATCTGCCGCGAGACCACTCCATTAATTAATGGACATTGTGCCTCTGTATGTATATTTGTGGAAGACATGCGCATAGTAAAACTCGACTTGATCACCATTATGTAATATTTTAAAGTGTTCATTTTTGTACTTAAATCTAAATTGATAATTAAAATACTTAATATTAAAGATTTTCAAACTATATTTGTTATTTCACAGCTTATCATTTTATTTGACGTTATGCGAAAAGAACAAAGCTAAATTAAATATATTACTCTTCGCAAAAAGCTCTAATTGTGTCTGAAAACAAGTATTCAAATTACTTCCCTTAGTACCAATTACTGCTCTTGATAGGGGATCCGGACAAAAGGCCGACATGGACAAAAGGCCGACACAGACAAAAGGCCGACAAGACAAAAGTCCGACACGTTTTATAAATAACAAACTACAATTACAGGCATGTTTTATATCTAAAATATGTAATTATATACGACTTTTTAAGTTTCTAATAAATATTCTTAGGTACATACAATAGGATAAAATAAAACACACGATGTAACAAATTATTTGTTGCCTATATATTGGTCCCTATATAGGGAAATCACAGGGGTAAGTTTACACGAAAAACAAAAATAACGCACCGATTTCGGCACACTTGTATCACAATCACAACAGAATTAATGAATCCAACGAATATATATACTTTTTTTTCTCGCAATTCGCAATGGACGAAAAAAAAATATAATTCAAATTGTGTCTGTATTTAAGGCGCGCGATTGTTCTACTAATCTACTTCATTCGGTTTCTTTGATTTCTTTACAAAATATGGTGGTAACGCCACCTGTCTGTTTATTCTTTGTACACTCCCGTCATCTCCAGTCGCATGGACCCCATAGTTCACCTTATAAGGATCGCCACTAGTATTGTCTCTTGGCGCTCCACCTTGTTGCATGTGGGCGATGATGCCGGCGGCTTTTTACTTGGTTCTTTGGTGATTATCTCACCTTGATTACATAGAAGGAGCTATGAAAGACAGCAGAGACAGCATTTCGCAATATTTAAGTGTTGATCATTTGTGTTTAAGACGCTCCCGTAATCTCCAGTCGCTTGACCCGATGGTTCACCTTATAAGGATAGTAACTAGCACCGTCTCTTCTCTTGAACGTTTCATCTTTTTTTCATGCCTTATTTCGATGGTTGTCAAGACAGGAGCTATGCAGTAGCACATATTTTGCGATATTAGTATTTTTTATGCTTGTCGGCCTAATGGTCTGTCGGCCTTATGGGTGTCGGCGTTATGTCCTGTCGACCTGATGTCCTGTCGGCCTTTTGGCTGTCGGCCTTTTGTCCATGTCGGCCTTTTGTCCGTGTCAGCCTTATGTCTTGTCGGCCTTTTGGATGTCTGCCTTTTGTCGGGAAAAATACTTTTTATTAGTTTGTTTTGATGTGGGAAGAAACAATGATGTAATAAGCATGGATTCATAAAGTGCAATGTGGTAGAAAACACGGGTATTTTAAATGCTACCTTTGTTTTATTTTAAACACTGAATGTACTGTTTACTAATAATTTAAAAAAAATCAAAACAGTTCCTAAATGTCCTCTATGTTTACTCTTACCTTTCCGCTTGAGGATAAGATGGGGTTCACTAAATTGAATTAGGCGTGTCCATTTGTGTAATGGCATGTATGTATGAATGTTAAATACTTTATGATGGCAGTTTTTATGTATGGCCGGCGCCCCGGGCTATTCTGTGAGGGATATGATGAATGCGTTCGTTTTAAAGAGTGCGATAGGCTGTGGATAAAAAGGGTTACTATAGTCGCTCACTAAATTGAATTCAGGGCGTCCTTTGGCGCCCCGACATGGTGCTATTTGGCGCACCGGGCCTTCCATATTTGCATATAGACATTTAATTGGAAAAGTAATATATTTCCTAAACCAGGTCAATGCCGGGTATATGTTGCTTAATAAACACACAAGTCACGGTACCTCTAATGCCAGTACAGGACCAGGTCGGCACCGCTAGTTATTATATAAAAGCTTGTTATTGGTTTGTTTGTTTTTTTGCATTTTCTTTTCAGTACTTAAAACTTTTAATACCATAGAGTTGCATGACTAAAACAATTGCGGACCAAACGAACAGGCATAGCGTTCAATAGCGCGGTAAATAGTGCTTGCTATAGGAAATTAAAAATAATTCTTCCAAAAAATATGAGCATCCAATTATTTCATGTTTGATGTCAGATTGTATTGTCATTAGGTCTTGAACCACGTGCCAATGTTGTCACACTGCATTTGATCCACGACGAAACACGACAGATAGACAAAAGATCGTGGAAACCAGTGAAATAAAAGTTTGCAAAAAAAATTGTCAAGAAGGAAAATAATTTACCACGTCCAACCATCCTGATTGAGCTTTCTCTTCACGACTCTGTAAAAATATTTTCAAAGAGGCCCAGTTACATACACACAATATGAATTCAGGACAAATGATCTCAGGACAAATGATCTCAGGACAAATGATCTCAGAACAAATGATCTCAGAACAAATGATCTCAGGACAAATGATCTCAGAACAAATTATCTGAAGGACAAATGATCTCAGAACAAATGATCTCAGGACAAATGATCTCAGAACAAATGATCTCAGAACAAATGATCTCAGAACAAATGATCTCAGAACAAATGATCTCAGAACAAATGATCTCAGAACAAATGATCTCAGAACAAATGATCTCAGAGCAAATGATCTCAGGACAAATGATCTCAGGACAAATGATCTCAGGACAAATGATCTCAGGACAAATGATCTCAGGACAAATGATCTCAGGACAAATGATCTCAGAGCAAATGATCTCAGAACAAATGATCTCAGAACAAATGATCTCAGAACAAATGATCTCAGAACAAATGGATCTCAGAACAAATGATCTCAGAACAAATGATCTCAGAACAAATGATCTCAGAACAAATGATCTCAGAACAAATGATCTCAGAACAAATGATCTCAGAACAAATGATCTCAGAACAAATGATCTCAGAACAAATGATCTCAGAACAAATGATCTCAGAACAAATGATCTCAGAGCAAATGATCTCAGGACAAATGATCTCAGGACAAATGATCTCAGGACAAATGATCTCAGGACAAATGATCTGAAGGACAAATGATCTCAGGACAAATGATCTCAGGACAAATGATCTCAGGACAAATGATCTGAAAGACAAATGATCTCATGGATAAAATATATCACGGACAAAAGATCTCAGTTAAAAGTTCTCACGGCAATCTAGCGAATGTGCTTGGAATAATTGTAGTCAAGATTTCAAATTGATTTATCATTGGGTTAGTTTGACTTTTTAAAAACAGATTATGATTGTAAGATATAATAACATGAATTATATAAAACGTCACAAGACTAATCTTAAAATACATTGAAAATGTTTTAGATCAAATGAAATGAGGAAAGTTGAAATATAGCACCTAGATCTAAATGTGCAAAACACGTGAATCTGTTGGGTAACATAAAACAATTAATTTAATTGAATGCACACAATTAATAATTGCTTCTGCCCCGTTAGCTCTGTCGCTTGAATGCACATTGTCACCTGATCACTAAGCTAAGACCAAAATTACTATTTGAGTTTTGACGCTAGTTGTATTGTTCACGGGGAGCGGACCTTTAGGACCTTGGGTTAGGTTTAGGGTTAGGTTTAGGGCGTGTCTCCACCTCTTAGAGTGTCTAGCGTCTCAAGTTAGGAGAGTCTATGTAGTTGTCAATCAACAATTTATTTTAACCTGCTTATAATACACTACTTATTACAATATTCAAATGTTTAAAATAAAATAAAATCACTACGCTTGTTTGTGTTTTTAAACAAAAATTATTTGCTGTGGGATATTTAGTCTGAGAAGTTTTTAGTCCATGATATCTTTAGACTTGTTATATATTTTAGGGGTCGGAGGGGTCGAGCCGGTAAAGCTCATGACTGCTAAACCGAAAAGACTCGAGTTCGAACCCTCGGGTAGATAAGGCTCGTTAGCTGGGACAGCAACTCTTCAAGGAGGGACAATTCCATACCAAACAATTGCTGCCGTTTTGGTTTGACAAAGGATATGGAAGCAAATCCAAAAAGAAAAGCAGGCTCAAATCGGAGTCAACGGCCTCATGGCGCATAACAAGTTGACACGTATACTTAACTGAGTTGGAGGTGGTCTCTTCGAACACTAAAATTAAGAACGAAGAAGAAGAAGATATATTTTTGCCTTGTGATAATTACTAGAGAGATCTTTTGTCCTTAAGATATTTTGTATGGAATATTTAGTCAAAGTTCATTTGTCAAATACACACACACACACATAAATATATATATATATATATATATATATATATATATATATATATATATATATATATATATATATATATATATATATATATATATACGTTTTTATATATGTATATACTTGTAATTATAAATGATCAAGAATGATCAAAATACATACATTTGTATGAAATACTAAAATCAACATTAAGACATTTATAATGATTACTTTCATCAGTTGGTGAATCATGATCCTATATTTGAAAAAAAAAATCCAACCGTTCTACAAGTGCCGTCCACAGCTTTGCAAATGGTGAAAATGGCATATCTCTGGGCTCTATCTAGCCAGGTGATCAAAACTTGCTGGTCATTCAGCCACTGGACACGTGTAAAGTAATGATCGCTGTTTGGTGGGCAAATGCGTACATTTGGGCATTTTAATAGAACAAACATGGGGTAAATTAAAACAACATCATGGGGTAGTCTAACACAACATCATGGGGTAAACTAACACAACATCATAGGGTAAACTAACACAACATCATAGGGTAAACTAACACAACATCATGGGGTAGTCTAACACAACATCATGGGGTAAACTAACACAACATCATGGGGTAAACTAACACAACATCATGGGGTAGTCTAACACAACATCATGGGGTAAACTAACACAACATCACGGGGTAAACTAACACAACATCATGGGGTAAACTAACACAACATCATGGGGTAAACTAACACAACATCATGGGGTAAACTAACACAACATCATGGGGTAAACTAACACAACATCATGGGGTAAACTAACACAACATCATGGGGTAAACTAACACAACATCATGGGGTAGTCTAACACAACATCATGGGGTAAACTAACACAACATCATGGGGTAAACTAACATAACATCATGGGGTAAACTAACACAACATCATGGGGTAGTCTAACACAACATCATGGGGTAAACTAACACAACATCACGGGGTAAACTAACACAACATCATGGGGTAAACTAACACAACATCATGGGGTAAACTAACACAACATCATGGGGTAAACTAACACAACATCATGGGGTAAACTAACACAACATCATGGGGTAAACTAACACAACATCATGGGGTAAACTAACACAACATCATGGGGTAAACAAACACAACATCATGGGGTAGTCTAACATAACATCATGGGGTAAACTAATATAACATCATGAGATAAACTAACACAATAACATGAGATAACATAACTAAGCTAAAATCGTAACCCATAATTGTGTTAGAATATTATAAATTCTGAAATGCCACGTAACATAATTGTGTTAGAATATTATAAATTATGAAATACCACGTATCATTTTCGAAGATTTCCACTTCTATGATAGCTACCAATCAAATGATGTTCATTGAAATGATGATGTAACTAAGCTATATAGAAACATATACACAGTGTCAAGTATTCTTTGTTGACCAGAGACTTGACTTACACAAAACCCATTATCCTTTAAAGTGACAACAAACCAGGCTGCTTACCTTCCGTTCAATTCTTTTGGTGGAGCTAAGGGTTAGGGTTAGTGACAACAAACCAGGCTGCTTACCTTCCGTTCAATTCTTTTGGTGGAGCTAATTGAACTGTTTTTAACTTCTTCAGATCTATTATTTTTAATGTGAATTCAGGGTTCTTTTCGCCAGCCTAAGAAAATTAGTATATATATATATATATATATATATATATATATATATATATATATATATATATATATATATATATATATATGTACATATATATATATATATATATATATATATATATATATATATATATATATATATATATATATATATATATACATATATAGGGTAAATGTTATATGTTAAGGTAACCTGAGTGAAAAAGAAACATACGGAATAGATAGATCAAACCCTAACCCTAATCCTAACGTGATACCTTTGGGTAAGCGATCTTCTCCTCTGTTGTGTAGGTCTCCATCATGTCACCGTAGATGGTGTAGTGGAATTTGTGGACCTGCGTGTCATTAAATGTGGCGTACAGCAGGTAACTGGACAAGGGCGACCACCAGATGGCGTTGTCAGTGGCCAGAATTTCCTCTGTCGTTTATAAGGATTCAATTAGAAAACTTGTATAAGATGGATAACATTTCATCTGTCATTTGTAAGGATTCAATTAGAAAACTTGTATAAGATGGATAACATTTCATCTGTCATTTGTAAGGATTCAATTAGAAAACTTGTATAAGATGGTTAACATTTCATCTGTCATTTGTAAGGATTCAATTAGAAAACTTGTATAAGATGGTTAACATTTCATCTGTCATTTGTAAGGATTCAATTAGAAAACTTGTAAAAGATGGATAACATTTCATCTGTCATTTGTAAGGATTCAATTAGAAAACTTGTATAAGATGGTTAACATTTCATTTGTCATTTGTAAGGATTCAATTAGAAAACTTGTATAAGATGGATAACATTTCATCTGTCATTTGTAAGGATTCAATTAGAAAACTTGTATAAGATGGATAACATTTCATCTGTCATTTGTAAGGATTCAATTAGAAAACTTGTATAAGATGGATAACATTTCATCTGTCATTTGTAAGGATTCAATTAGAAAACTTGTATAAGATGGTTAACATTTCATCTGTCATTTGTAAGGATTCAATTAGAAAACTTGTATAAGATGGATAACATTTCATCTGTCATTTGTAAGGATTCAATTAGAAAACTTGTATAAGATGGTTAACATTTCATCTGTCATTTGTAAGGATTCAATTAGAAAACTTGTATAAGATGGATAACATTTCATCTGTCATTTGTAAGGATTCAATTAGAAAACTTGTATAAGATGGTTAACATTCATTTGTCATTTGTAAGGATTCGATTAGAAAACTTGTATAAGATGGATAACATTTCATCTGTCATTTGTAAGGATTCAATTAGAAAACTTGTATAAGATGGATAACATTTCATCTGTCATTTGTAAGGATTCAATTAGAAAACTTGTATAAGATGGTTAACATTTCATCTGACATTTGTAAGGATTCAATTAAAAAAACTTTGCACATAAAAAGTGTGAATTTTTTAGCACAAAAATAGAAAAAAACTGTTATGTTTTGATAGCAAATATGGAAATGGAAATTTGAGACAAATATTTTTTGATTACATAGGCCTATATAAGATGCCATCAAAAAGAAAATACTACTTGGAAATACGATCACAATGCTATCTTACCTTCATACACCCAATCAGGCACACCATTATAAATAAGATTTTTGATTCCAGAATCTGTGATACGGACTGGTTCAGCTGTTACGTTTTGTTTATAATAAATATTGTTGTCTTCCACTAGAACCTAAGGATTCATTGGAATAGTTTTTAAAAGAAATTTGGCATCGTATTTCCTCTTCTTCGTTCTAAATTTTAGTTTTGGAAAGGATTCTTTCCAACATAATTAAGTATTAGGTGTCGAATGGTTATGTGCCAAATAGGCGGTTGACTCCTATTTTAGCCTGCTTTTCTTTTTGGATTTGTTTTCATAGCCTTTGTCCAATAAGAACAAACTACAAGGCAGTAGTTGTTTGATTTTGAAGTTGTCTCTCCTAAAAGAGTGGCTGTCCCCAGCTAACGAGCCTCATCAACCCTAGTTTTACCGACTCGACCACGCCTACACCGGTATCGGGTTGATTGTCCTTAATTGAAATATCCAAGAGAAGCGAGTATTACATACATATACACATACATGAACCCGTGCACAAGAACACATACACATATCCATATCCATACACATCACATAAATATACAGGGAGACAGAGAGACAGAGAGGCAAGGAGACAGAGAGACAGAGAAACAGAGAGACACAGAGATAGAGAGACGGAGAGACACGGAGACACAGAGACAGAGAGACGGAGAGACACGGAGACAGAGAGACAGGGAGACACGGAGACACAGAGACAGAGAGACACGGAGACAGAGAGACAGGGAGACAGGGAGACAGGGAGACAGAGAGACAGGGAGACAGGGAGACAGAGAGACAGGGAGATAGAGAGACAGGGAGATACGGAGACACAGAGACAGAGAGACAGGGAGACAGAGAGACAGAGAGACAGGGAGACAGGGAGACAGAGAGACAGGGAGACAGAGAGACAGAGAGACAGGGAGACAGGGAGACAGAGAGACAGGGAGATAGAGAGACAGGGAGACAGAGAGATACGGGGACAGAGAGACACGAAGACAGAGAGACAGAGAGACAGGGAGACAGAGAGACAGAGAGACAGGGAGATAGAGAGACAGGGAGATAGAGAGATAGGGAGACAGAGAGACACGGAGACAGAGAGACAGGGAGACAGAGAGACAGAGAGACAGGGAGATAGAGAGACAGGGAGACAGAGAGACACGGAGACAGAGAGACACGGAGACAGAGAGACAGAGAGACAGGGAGATAGAGAGACAGGGAGACAGAGAGATACGGGGACAGAGAGACAGAGAGACAGGGAGATAGAGAGACAGGGAGACAGAGAGATACGGGGACAGAGAGACAGAGAGACACGGAGACAGAGAGACAGAGAGACAGGGAGACAGGGAGACAGAGAGACAGGGAGATAGAGAGACAGGGAGATACGGAGACACAGAGACAGAGAGACAGGGAGACAGAGAGACAGAGAGACAGGGAGACAGGGAGACAGAGAGACAGGGAGATAGAGAGACAGGGAGATACGGAGACACAGAGACAGAGAGACAGGGAGACAGAGAGACAGAGAGACAGGGAGACAGGGAGACAGAGACAGAGAGACAGGGAGACAGAGAGACAGAGAGACAGGGAGACAGGGAGACAGAGAGACAGAGAGACAGGGAGACAGAGAGACAGGGAGATACGGAGACACAGAGACAGAGAGACAGGGAGACAGAGAGACAGAGAGACAGGGAGACAGGGAGACAGAGAGACAGGGAGATAGAGAGACAGGGAGACAGAGAGATACGGGGACAGAGAGACACGCAGACAGAGAGACAGACAGACAGGGAGACAGAGAGACAGAGAGACAGGGAGATAGAGAGACAGGGAGATACGGAGACACAGAGACAGAGAGACAGGGAGACAGAGAGACAGAGAGACAGGGAGACAGGGAGACAGAGCGACAGGGAGATAGAGAGACAGGGAGATAGAGAGACAGGGAGATACGGAGACACAGAGACAGAGAGACAGGGAGACAGAGAGACAGAGAGACAGGGAGACAGGGAGACAGAGAGACAGGGAGATAGAGAGATAGAGAGACAGGGAGACAGAGAGATACGGGGACAGAGAGACACGGAGACAGAGAGACAGAGAGACAGGGAGACAGAGAGACAGAGAGACAGGGAGATAGAGAGACAGGGAGACAGAGAGATACGGGGACAGAGAGACACGGAGACAGAGAGACAGAGAGACAGGGAGACAGAGAGACAGAGAGACAGGGAGATAGAGAGACAGGGAGACAGAGAGACACGGAGACAGAGAGACACGGAGACAGAGAGACACGGAGACAGAGAAATACGGAGATAGAGAGACAGAGAGACACGGAGGCAGAGAGACAGGGAGACACGGAGACAGGGAGACAGAGAGACAGAGAGACACGGGGACAGAGAGACACGGAGACAGAGAGAAAGGGAGACAAAGAGACACGGAGACAGGGAGTCACGGAGACAGAAACAATAAAAAGCGTTATGACAATTAATAAAAGAATGTTGCCAACTGACCTGTTGACCTAACCTTAACCCAAATGACCAGTTGACCTAACCTTAACCCAAATGACCAGTTGACCTAACCCTAAACCAACTGACCAGATGACCTAACCTTAACCTAAATGACCAGTTGACCTAACCCTAACTCAACTGACCAGATGACCTAACCCAAATGATCAGATGACCTAACCCTAACCCAACTGACCAGTTGACCTAACCCTAACCCAACTGACCAGATGACCTAACCCTAACCCAACTGACCAGTTGACCTAATCCTAACCCAACTGACCAGATGACCTAACCCTAACCCAACTCACCAGATGACCTAACCCTAACCCAACTGACCAGTTGACCTAACCCTAACCCAACTGACCAGTTGACCTAACCCTAAACCAACTGACCAGATGACCTAACCCTAACCCAACTCACCAGATGACCTAACCCTAACCCAACTGACCAGATAACCTAACCCAACTGACCAGTTAACCTAATCCTAACCCAACTGACCAGATGACCTTACCCTAACCCAACTGACCAGTTGACCTAACCCTAACCCAACTGACCAGTTGACCTAATCCTAACCCAACTGACCAGTTGACCTAACCCTAACCCAACTGACCAGTTGACCTAACCCTAACCCAACTGACCAGATAACCTAACCCAACTGACCAGTTGACCTAATCCTAACCCAACTGACCAGATAACCTAACCCAAATGACCAGTTGACCTAACCTTAACCCAAATGACCAGTTGACCTAACCCTAAACCAACTGACCAGATGACCTAACCTTAACCTAAATGACCAGTTGACCTAACCCTAACTAAACTGACCAGATGACCTAACCCAAATGATCAGATGACCTAACCCTAACCAACTGACCAGTTGACCTAACCCTAACCCAACTGACCAGATGACCTAACCCTAACCCAACTGACCAGTTGACCTAATCCTAACCCAACTGACCAGATGACCTAACCCTAACCCAACTCACCAGATGACCTAACCCTAACCCAACTGACCAGTTGACCTAACCCTAACCCAACTGACCAGTTGACCTAACCCTAAACCAACTGACCAGATGACCTAACCCTAACCCAACTCACCAGATGACCTAACCCTAACCCAACTGACCAGATAACCTAACCCAACTGACCAGTTAACCTAATCCTAACCCAACTGACCAGATGACCTTACCCTAACCCAACTGACCAGTTGACCTAACCCTAACCCAACTGACCAGTTGACCTAACCCTAACCCAACTGACCAGTTGACCTAACCCTAACCCAACTGACCAGTTGACCTAACCCTAACCCAACTGACCAGATAACCTAACCCAACTGACCAGTTGACCTAATCCTAACCCAACTGACCAGTTGACCTAACCCTAACCCAACTGACCAGATAACCTAACCCAACTGACCAGTTGACCTAACCCTAACCCAACTGACCAGATAACCTAACCCAACTGACCAGTTGACCTAATCCTAACCCAACTGACCAGTTGACCTAACCCTAACCCAACTGACCAGATAACCTAACCCAACTGACCAGTGCATGTCCAGTGGGTGACCACGAGGCATACTGGATTCTTGGTTCTGCTGTTGTCATGCCGGACACTGGTATACGACCGGCAAACAGTTTCACTGTTGACCTGGGGACAGTTAGCCTGCATCAGTTCTCATTGCCATTTGTAAGTCAACATCATCGATTTTTTTAAACAGTTATCTACTTTTCTGTAAGAATTATCTACTTGTTTCTAAGCATTATCTACTTTTTTGTAAGCAATATCTACTTCTTTGTAAGCATTATCTATTTGTTTGTAAGCATTAACTACTTGTTTGTAACGATTATCTACTTGTTTCTAAGCATTATCTACTTGTTTGTAAGCATTATATACTTGTTTGTAAACATTATCTATTTGTTTGTAAGCATTATCTACTTGTTTGTAAGCATTATCTATTTGTTTGTAAGCATTATCAATTTGTTTGTAAGCATTATATACTTGTTTGTAAGCATTATCTATTTGTTTGTAAGCATTATATACTTGTTTGTAAACATTATCTATTTGTTTGTAAGCATTATATACTTGTTTGTAAACATTATCTATTTGTTTGTAAGCATTATCTACTTGTTTGTAAGCATTATCTATTTGTTTGTAAGCATTATCAATTTGTTTGTAAGCATTATCAATTTGTTTGTAAGCATTATATACTTGTTTGTAAACACTAACTACTTGTAAATTAGTAATTGAAGAAAAAAGTGGGAGGGACGTCCCCTAAAAGTTTGTCATATTTTTTTATTTAATAATGATTTGGATGGTATTTCTTGAGGAGTCAAGTTAAAGAAAGAGTAAATTTGTGACGTTCAAATTTCGGAAAATACAAAGACGAAAAGGTATTGTCTGCTTGAATAGAATACGGTTTAAAATGATCAATCTGTAAAGGTTTTTTTTATCAAAGCGGACACAAAACACGCCACCCAATAGGAAACTTGCCCTTTGACTTACCATAATATAAAAGCGAACATGGTAAGCCTAATTGACGCTGTAAATTACATGACTGAGTAAAAAACAAGGTAATAAAAAGTCTAGTGACAATTTAAGCGCAATTTCCTTATGATATCCATAACAATTTTTAAAAATTTTTTTGTGACCGAACGAAAGGATATTTTTGAAAACTTTCTTCGGAAATATTGTTCTAAATTATGGCAGGAATCGATTGGTAAATGTTTCAAGTCGCTAAGTGGTCTGGTTGCCGAGATATGGGCCAAAAACTGCATTTTTTCGAGGTTTTTTGGCTTTTCCGGGAAATCCAGGAAGGAATTCCGGGAATTTTTTTGGCCCACAATCATCCTCGGAACTTGCTTAACATATTTGCTTTGGAACTAGTCCTCGATATTGCTTCGTTGAGGAGGAGATACGACTTAAAGCTGCGGACACACATCCATCCAGAACGAATTAATAATCGCAATTGTCAGTATGGAAATGGCACTAAAAAAAAGCGAATAGTCGTTCTATAAATAGTTGAATAGAGTTTGAGAATTACTACACCTTCACTTAAATAGAAAAAAAGTATTTTGAAAAACATTTTAAAACTATCAAATCAACAAGCTTAGAAAAAAAGAAAAGAATAAAGCATTATTAATAAACGATTTTATGGTTAATGCGACTTGCATTCAATATTGTGTGATGGCAATATACCAAACTTTCAATATTGTATGAAGGCAATATATCAGACTTTCAATATTGTATAACGGCAATATATCAGATTTTCAATATTTACGCAAGTAGGCTACTGTAAAGCAAACTATTTCATTTGATCATCTTTTCCTTTTGTACCCAAGACACATGGAACGGAAACAGAAAGTTCTTTCCACTTTTGCCGGTTATAGGCAATTATCTAGGCAGTCCCTCAAAATAGCCCTACTTTGTCTGTTGTCTTGGCAGTCCCTCAAGATAGCCCTACTTTGTCAGTAGTATTTCTGCTTGGCAGTCCCTCAAGATAGCCCTACTTTGTCTGTTGTCTTGGCAGTCCCTCAAGATAGCCCTACTTTGTCAGTTGTCTTGGCAGTCCCTCAAGATAGCCCTACTTTGTCAGTTGTCTTGGCAGTCCCCCAAGATAGCCCTACTTTGTCAGTTGTATTTCTGCTTGGCAGTCCCTCAAGATAGCCCTACTTTGTCAGTTGTCTTGGCAGTCCCTCAAAATAGCCCTACTTTGTCTGTTGTCTTGGCAGTCCCTCAAGATAGCCCTACTTTGTCAGTTATATTTCTGCTATGCACCTCCACATCTTTCTTGCCCTTCCATGTTTTCTTCTTCGTTGAGACTTTCAGCTAAGCGCCATTCCTGTGATATCTTGTGAACTTCTCAAAACGTGACCCATCCAGCCATTTGTTTGGATTACTTCTGAACTGGCTTCCATTTGCATTTCTCTTATTACTCTGTCATTGGATGTGTTAAGTCAGTAGATATCTTTTATCCTTTGCAGACACTTAATTTGGAAACAATTCAGTAACTAACGTCTGTTACTTAACAGCTGCCATATAGTAGGAAGCTAAGGATATTATTTTAGAAAAGTCTGCATTTGGTCTTTGAGGAAATTTATTTTGATCGCTGTGTTTTGCACGGTTGATTTATATATATATATATATATATATATATATATATATATATATATATATATATATATATATATATATATATATATATATATATATATATATATATATATATATATATATATATATATATATATATATATATATATATATATATATATATATATATATATATATATATATATATATATATACATATATATACATATATATACATATATATACATATATATACATATATATATATACATATATATATATATATATATATATATATATATATATATATATATATATATATATATATATATATATATATATATTTACAAATGTTTTGCTTTAGAGACACTGTTGACCACGCTGCCTAATGAACTCATATCTTTTACTTCCTTTACTAGTTGGTTGTTTATTTTAATAGACCCTTGGCTAGGTGTATTTTGTTTTATAATTTGGTTTTGTTAATGTTTAATTTGAGTACCACCCCGTAAGCAAAAAGTTTGATAATTTACTGTATATGAATAATGAATTTATTTAATCCACCTTTTGTAAATATGTTATTTATTTAAATTACCTTGTGTGAACATTGTATACGGAATAATCTGATACAGCGGAATGCCTGAATATCTGCAACAAACACAATTTTTTAAATCATTGTTATTATAACAATTGCCTTGTAACAATTGCAAATATTAATAGGCCTATATATGGTAATATTGCTCATACTTTGTAAAAATGATAATTTTTAACTTAACAGTTTTATTTTATATCTTTATTCAAATTACCTGTTTTGTATTTAACTTTAGCAACAGGTAATCACCGTGAGATGAAAGGTAATAGTCTTTCAATTCTGTCGATTTCTGCAAATATTTTTAAAGGTATGTTATGTAGACATGTTGAGCTATAAACTATCAAGACCATGTTGAGCTATAAACTATCAACACCATATTGAGCTAGACTTTTGCGTTCCCGAATTAGTTTTAACATTTACCATTTTTGAACGGTTCGGTTTGTAATAATTCTCATAACTAGATATTTTGTTTTGTATAAATAAATCAAAGGCTTGGAAAAGAATCTGTGACGGCTGCCTAATTAATTGAATAAGTTTTAGTTTGACTTCTTTGATTATTCAATTATAACTGCGTCAGAATAGGCACAAAGAAGACAGAAGGCATAGTTTAAAATTTTCTTTCATTAGTTCATCAATATGTTACATTAGCAGATAATCAATATATGTTACATTAGCAGATTATCAATATATGTTACATTAGCAGATTATCAATATATGTTACATTAGCAGATTATCAATATATGTTACATTAGCAGATTATCAATATATGTTACATTAGCAGATTATCAATATATGTTACATTAGCAGATTATCAATATATGTTACATTAGCAGATTATCAATATATGTTACATTAGCAGATTATCAATATATGTTACATTAGCAGATTATCAATATATGTTACATTAGCAGATTATCAATATATGTTACATTAGCAGATTATCAATATATGTTACATTAGCAGATTATCAATATATGTTACATTAGCAGATTATCAATATATGTTACATTAGCAGATTATCAATATATGTTACATTAGCAGATTATCAAAATAAAATACTGGAATAGATCATTAACATAAGTTGCCTGAATCGATAATTAATATAAGATACATTATATAGGCCTATCTTTACACGAATATACCTCTACTTCTTTAAAAAAAACTTGACTTTTTAAGTATAAATTTACCGATTACGTTTTAGACACACGAATAAACTGACAGACGGAAATACATGTTAAACCTGAACCTAAGGCTGAGAGAGAACTGACTTAGATGTGTTTGTTTATAATATAATATCTAATTGATAGGCTTAGCTATGAACCTAACGCTTATATATAACTTACGTAAGTGTTGTTGTCCATAATTTCAAAACTGTCGTTGTGAGAGCAGTTGAAAATTCTCAGTGATTTATCCACAGTTAAATACACAAACTGGTTTTCACCTAAATGAAAAAAAAAACCCATAAAACCTTAATAAATCAATAGATTTTCTTTTTCAAACATATAACAAAAAGGCGTACAGTAAATTTTTTATACCTATCCTACAAGCCGATACATTAATGACTTTTGTTTGTTATCTTGTCAGGGGAAAACCTGGTTGGCTGTCATGGGAAAACCTGTTTGGCTGTCATGGGACAACCTGTTTGGCTGTCATGGGACAACCTGTTTGGCTGTCATGGGACAACCTGTTTGGCTGTCATGGGACAACCTGTTTGGCTGTCATGGTACAACCTGTTTGGTTGTCCTGTTTGGTTGTTTGGACAACCTGTTTGGCTGTCAGATGACAACCTGTTTAGTAGGATTAGGGATGTCACTTCCAATGAAATCAGGCTAAAGGAAGGTTTTGACAGAACCGCTCATTTTTTGGGAAAAACAAAATAAAGTTCTTGATTTCTGATTCTTTCTGAAAATATGTATAGGCGGTAGTAATCTCCCTTAAATTTTATTTAAATCTATATTATAGAGCCTTAGGTAGTGTGTCAGTCCGTTACTCATCACTATAGATTATAAAAACTTAAAAGTAAACAACACATTATACCATGCAGTACTTGCATTGCATTATCTTATTGCAACTAATGGAGTTGGGTCTATTTATATAACACAAACATGTTTGATGGTTGGCAAAGATTTTACTCTTTCAATTACGTCAACAAAAGAACATAAAAAATATGAAATACACGCATATTGCTAAAACATATTAAACTGATCAATGAAAAATAATATTCTGGCTTGATTCCAATAAAAAATTGATACATTTTAATAACAGTAGAGCGAAGAGAAATAATAAATTAACAATTTAAATGTTTAAACTAGGAGAGGTAATATAGAAAGAAATTCAAACACGCTAAATATTGCTATTTATTCAACTTGCTTTCGGGCAAGTGTCTTTCGGGAAAACGTCCGGCTCCCATATATATCTATTATTTTTCCGATATGTTTTTATTAATATATCTACATTGAGTTCTAAAATTAAAAGATTAAATTAGGCGTTTAATTTTTTTGGTCTCTATTATCAATGATGTCATTATTATTGGTATCGTTTTCGGCATTCAATTCTTAATTCTATTTTTGTATTTAACATTCAATGTTGGCATTATATTTTATGTATAGAAGCTAAATGTAGATATGTCCACACTATTTAATCTGGTAACCTCGAACTACAAGTAGTTACTGGTCGGGGTGGGGGGGGGGGGGGGATGGAGCCCCCCGAAGAACGTCTACAGCCCCTTACAATTGATATAGAATATACAGTTTTAAACAAAAGTTTAGTCGACCCCCCCCTATCTCCGGGGAGAAAGAAGTCTGAATCAACACTGGTCGCATTTGCTGATCATACAGACTAAAGGTAGACCCTAATTCTAATTACTGAGGGTTGGACTAAATTCTCCGAATGGGGGGGGGGGGGGGGGACGATGTGGACACTGGTAAAAGTATATATTTTTTATACACATTCTATTTAGTGGGGTGGGGGGGAGACGTATGGTTTCTCTAAAAAAACACCTACACTAATTGTGGACTTGCATTAATTTACTCGATTACTAACTCGGTATGATTTCTAACTAACAAACATCAAGCGAGAAATACAAAAATAAAGTTTTAAAAAGGAAACATCATCGGCAGTCCAGATTGCTGATTCTAAAACTATTGCAAACCTCACCCGCGATCCATTCGGCACTAAAGCTGGCTGGACGAAGCTCGAAATTGATATAATCATCAAACGTGAATTTCTCTCCAAAGTTTTCCACTCTTTCTGCTGAAATAAATAGAAGAAAAAACCTGGGTGTTGTTCATCACAATAGCCATAATTTGCAGCTTTATTGCAAATAATCAATGGGCGTAATTACAATTTACAAATATGTATGGCTATTGTCGAATGAGAAAAGTAAAATCTTGAAATCTTGCGAGTAAATTGTTTTGTGTGGTGATGATGTAGACATTGACAATTACAGAACTTTTATATGATGCTGATGTAGACATTGACTTTAGAGAAACTTTGCGTGGTGATGATGTAGACATTGACTGTGTGTGGTGATGATGTAGACATTGACTGCGTGTGGTGATGATGTAGACATTGACTGTGTGTGGTGATGATGTAGACATTGACTGTGTGTGACGATGATGTAGACATTGACTTTAGAGAAACTTACTTGGAGTGGCGATGATAACAGCAGTGACAATTAAAGCACACACAACAAGTATCACTAGGAGGGCTATAGCTATTCCACGCCAGTTGCGTTGCTGAGCCGTATTACCAACCAGTTCCTACACAAATGGAAACAACTTTTTCAACATACTGTCACCTTATTTGTTCAATACACATTTTTTTAGAAAATATACATAAATACAATAGATTGCATTATCCAATAGATCAACGTCATTTTTACTTTCTCGCATACAGAGCACAGAGAGCATACTAATCTAGCACAAAAATCACCTGAAATTTTGAGTTTTCACTTTTTCACACATCAGAACATCATATACGGGGTAAAAGGAACTTAATTTAATCGGGCAAAAATTCTAATTGCAGATTTATCAAATTTCGGTGTTTTACGCGTAATTGAGTCAGAAAAACTGGGCTTTGCAATTCTGTTCTTGTATATATATATATATATATATATATATATATATATATATATATATATATATATATATATATATATATATATATATATATATATATATATATATATATATATATATATATATATATATATATATATATATATATATATATATGTGTGTGTGTGTGTGTGTGTGTGTGTGTGTTAGGGAACACGATAACTTGAGTGCCGATACAGCTAGGTAGATGAAATTTCATGTATTTGTGTTACCTCAACTTTGTAGTGTGTATTAATTTTTTTTAGCTATTTCCAGCAACCAGAAGTAAAATTTTTGTTTTTTCACAAGCCTATAACTCGAAATTTCCCATTTAAGTAAAATAATGAAACCTATGTCTTCTGTCAAATATTGAGTATTTTCCGTGTACCAAAAGTAGTACTTTACGCTATTTCCGATTTCTCAAAAAAAGGCATATGAATTTATACAGTTCTAACGTTCCGCAATATTATACACACAGTGTTTGCTGTTCACTTGATGCGCAATTCTCTGTTCTACCATATTCTATTCTACTTAATAAAAGTTTAAGTACTTAAAAATTGATTAACAATCATGTCTAAATCCCCAGTTGCCATCCCCCGTGGTCTTATAAAAGTATATTCGAGAAAGTTTAGAGAGATCACTCCCACTTGTTTATAAGAATATATACATAATGTGGCTAAGTTTGCGGTTTAAAAAGATCATTCTTGTCAATGGGACAATACAACGGTCCTGACAGGGTTTACATACAGGCCTGACAAGGTGTATACACAGGCATGACAGGGTTTATATACAGGCATGACAGGGTTTATACACAGGCCTGACAGGGTTTATATACAGGCATGACAGGGTTTATACACAGGCCTGACAGGGTTTATATACAGGCCTGACAGGGTTTATATACAGGCCTGACAGGCAAAAAAAACTATGATATAATCGGGAAAATTCCGGAAGGACTTTAGATCTGACCGGTCCGAATTCCCTATATAAACTTTGTTAATTTGGTGAAAAACGATGACTATTTTCAAAACAATGTTTTGGAACTTTGGCTCTGTACATCTGGCTCATTTTTCCATAAACCGGGGTAAATAAATCGGCCTTATGGATAAACTATCGGTCTGCCTCTGCTCGCGCGGCGAGGGCTAAAAAGTAACTACGAGTGAAATTCTCCTTATATGAGCTATATATCGGAAAAAACTTTGCCGAACGACCCCCCTTGATGTTTTGTGAGGTCGTTGAAAAATGCCTGTCATAAAAAACTCGCCATATCTGGAAAAAAAATGGCAAAGAGGTCAAAACTGACCTGTCGTATTTCCTTATATAATCATTGTAATTTATGTGAAAGGATAATTTCAACAAAGATTTAAGGGTACTCTTTACATCTGGCTAATTTCTTGTGTGCACCCCAATAAATGGCTAGGCCGTATGGTCAGACTCTCAGCCGTCGATGAGGGCTAAAAAATGACCGCGAGTGAAATTTGCCCTATAATAGCTATATATAAATAGAATTTGCCCTGATATGTGGTGAGGGTAAAAAAAAAAAAAATTTTCCCGTCGGAAAAATTTTTACGGTCGTAGATTTGTCCAAACGCCGTATCCTAATATATAAAAGCCAATGTGCTCTCTCTCTCTCTCTCTCTCTCTCTCTCTGTCCGCAAAATATTTTTGCAGGCTATCATTTCAGTATTTTCAGCGATATATGGAGAACTTGATACGGACTTTTGTTGAAAGTAATAGGTTAGATGTTTTGAATGTATAAACACAATTTTATTTAAAATAAAAAATAAAGGCATAATTGAATGTAGAAAAACAATTTCAATTATGCAACAGGAGAAGTGTTTATAATTGTGAAAAGAACGCAATAAAACAATGACGTCACTAATGTTTACACTAAGAAAAGAGCACACAACTAATGACGTCATCTTCCGAGTTTAGAATATAAACAAATCAACTACTTCATTCAAATATTTGGACAAAGGCTATGGAACCAAATCCAAAAAGAAAAGCAGGCTAAAATCGGAGTCAATGTCCTCATTGGCGCATAACTATTTGACGCGTATCCTTAATTGTGATGGAGGCGTGGTCGAGTCGGCTAAAGCTATTGGTTGATAAATTTAAAAAAAAGTCTCAAGTTCAAACCCTCCGGCAGATAAGGCTTGATACCCTCCAACACTAAAAATTAAGAACGAAGAAGAAGAAAGAAAATTCAAATATGATTAGATCTACGTACATTACAATTTTCTCGGCCTAAACTTTAAAAATTTAGATGATCTAGATCTACGGAAAAACTAGACAGATCTAGTTAAGATCTAGACCCTACCTAGATCTAGATTTCTAGAATCTATTCCGATAATAAATTTCTATATTAAACTATTTCAGGCCTTAATTATTTTATTGAAATCTTTGTTTGTTTAGCTATGCAGTTGGCTAATTTTTAATAGAATGTAATTTGAAAGAATTAATCGCGTAAGTTAAGTTTCTTAATTTACTATTTTATTATCCATAAAAATTATAGTGTCTAAATAGCTGAGATGATAGTGTAATTGATAGCATGCAGGTGGTGCGGATTCGAGACACACAACGTCAATTTTAAATATTTTTTTTTCAATTTGTTTTTTTTATATGTGAATGATAAAGTTGCCTATCGGGACTTAGCGGGTCACGGGGTGGGTGAAGTAGAGTTTACCTGTTTTTTGAAGGAATAGTGTGGCAAGCCCCATGCTCTGCCGAAATAGGTGTTTTAAAAAGACAAAAACAACATAACTACCATTGAACAGCCGCCTTTTTAATGAAATCTTTTAAGTCTCTTAATTTTAATTCTCTTAATCAGCGAGTGCATTTAATATGGTACTGTGTTGACTAATACTACATATAATTTGGTTTTAATTTTTCTAATAGGTATTGGTAGTCTACGTTATACTACATATAATTTGGTTTTATTTTTTTCTAATAGGTATTGGTAGTCTACGTTATTTTTAAAGAAGTATACACAGAAGTACATAAAACAAAACCACTTTTTTCATAATCTTAAGAATGTTTCATTCCAATGCTCTTGATCAATAAAATGTTGCTTTTCCTAAGTTTCTGATAATGAATTTTTTAAAAGCTGAATTACAATTCATTTCATTACTCACTTTCCGTAGATATATACATTTTCTTCAAGCATCTCTACCGTTTCTTCCCCTTTCACCTCCGAACGAAATAGAAAAAAAGTAATTCATACAAAAATATGGAAAAACAGTATCCGCTACCCCCCCCCCCCCCCCCCCACCCAACGCACACACAACCCACACACCCTCCTCCGGGCAGTTTTAAACACCGCTACCCGGGTAGCCTTTTGTAAAGAGAAGAGAGCTAAAAGTCACCAGAATAGCCCGTGTAACGGGTACCGATGGCTAGTTTTCTTATATAAGTATAGCAATTGTTTGTGAAAAAAAGTAAACAAGACTACGTCATTCGGTAGGTACATGGGAGGTTTAAAGAAATAATTTTAAAATAATTTTAATACTATTTTTAACAAAAACAGAAAATCACAACGTATAGCATTCGTTTAAATAGAAATTTCGCTATACATAAAGCTATTTACTAAGAATAAATTGCAAAATTGAATATAATATGTGAGTTATTCTTTTAATGAAGCCTTTGCAGTTCTAATCACCTTGCAAGCTATAAAGTTGTGAATATTCCACTTCCGTTTTGAGCATGAAATTACTGTTTTAATTTAAGCATTCCACATAACAGCTTTAATGTAATTCAAATTCTCAATTTTTTTTATTTTTTTTTAAACCTAAGCGATGCTAGGCGGTATGCCTAGTAAGTTAATATTTTATTTAAGAACATGATCAGTAATTAACCATCTATGAAAAACAATTATCTCCCCTTTCTAAATCCGTGATCGAATAATTTAAGCGGTTACAAAACGTTGCACTCTGATCGACTTGTCTTCGTTTGGGTTGATTGTGTGGATTGATTGTGTGGGTTTATTGTGTGTGTTGATTGTGTGGATTGATTGTGTGGGTTTAATAAAGGAACTACAAATACCTGAAATAAAGGAACTATAAATACCTGGAATAAAGGAACTACAAATACCTGGCATAAAAGAACTACAAACACCTGAAATAAAGGAACTACAAACACCTGGAATAAAGGAACTACAAATACCTGGAATAAAGAAATTACAAACACCTGGAATAAAGGAACTGCAAACACCTGGAATAAAGGAACTACAACCACCTGAAATAAAGGAACTACAAACACATGGAATAAAGGAACTATAAACACCTGAAATAAAGGAACTACAAACACCTGAAATAAAGGAACTACAAATACCTGGCATAAAAGAACTACAAACACTTGAAATAAAGGAACTACAAACACCTGAAATAAAGGAACTACAAACACCTGGAATAAAGGAACTATAAATACCTGAAATAAAGGAACTACAAACACCTGGAATAAGTGAACTACAAACACCTGGAATAAAGGAACTATAAATATCTGAAATAAAGGAACTACAAACACCTGAAATAAAGGAACTACAAATACCTGGCATAAAAGAACTACAAACACTTGAAATAAAGGAACTACAAACACCTGAAATAAAGGAACTACAAACACCTGGAATAAAGGAACTACAAACACCTGGAATAAAGGAACTACAAATACCTGGAATAAAGAAATTACAAACACCTGGAATAAAGGAACTGCAAACACCTGGAATAAAGGAACTACAACCACCTGAAATAAAGGAACTACAAACACATGGAATAAAGGAACTATAAACACCTGGAATAAAGGAACTATAAATACCTGAAATAAAGGAACTACAAACACCTGAAATAAAGGAACTACAAACACCTGAAATAAAGGAACTACAAATACCCGGCATAAAAGAACTACAAACACCTGGAATAAAGGAACTACAAACACATGGAATAAAAAAACTACAAACACATGGAATAAAGGAACTACAAACACATGAAATAAAGGAACTACAAACACCTGGAATAAGTGAACTACAAACACCTGGCATAAAAGAACTATAAACACCTGAAATAAAGGAACTATAAACACCTGGAATAAAGGAACTACAAACACCTGGAATAAAGGAACTACAAACACCTGGAATAAGGAACTACAAACACATGGAATAAAGGAACTATATATACCTGGAATAAGGAACTACAAACACCTGGAATAAAGGAACTGCAAACACATGGAATAAAGGAACTACAAACACATGGAATAATGGAACTACAAACACATGGAATAAAAGAACTACAAACACCTGGAATAAAGGAACTATAAATACCTGGAATAAGGAACTACAAACACCTGGAATAAGGAACTACAAACACATGGAATAAAGGAACTACAAACACCTGGAATAAAGGAACTATAAACACATGGAATAAAGGAACTACAAACACCTGGAATAAAGGAACTACAAATACCAGGATAAATGAACTACAAACACATAAAATAAAGGAACTACAAACACATGGAATAAAGGAACTCAATCTATTTTTAGACTTACTTGAGAGCCGTCCAGCGCCACCATTTTTCCTTTTTTTCTGTCCTTTATGACGTCATATAAGGTGTCTGTTTGATGCCATCTTTGTTATCAAACAAAATCAGCAAGTGTCTTTTCTTATTATATTACCTTTCTATATCAGCTTACTGGTATGTATTATATTTCCTGCAAGCAGCTAACCCTGTTAACTATTGTATATTTTAATGGCCCAGCCTTCATAGCCCGTTTTTGTTCAAGAAAACGTATAAATTTAAAAACAAATGTGTATAATTTTTCACGAAGGTCGTAACTGTTTGAATCGCTGAACACTTTAAGGAAACGATGAATAGTTACCGCTCGTCTAAGTCTTTGAACAGCAAGGAAAAGAAACCAGATGAAGTGTGTATAAAATCTGAGTCAATTGTCCCCCACTCCACCGTTAGATATGGCTCTCTGATAGCCAATAGGTTGATAGAGGGGCCTAATAGCTTCCTGATTAATTAGCCACGGATAGCAACACATACGGTAGAAGCACACACATGTATAATCCAATGACAGCTCGTAGCCAACTAGCCAGTGCACGACTACACACTAGGTAAGATTCCACCCAGGAGAGAGCGAGCACACAGCTCAAGGTGCACAGCACACCAGTGTGAGCCGCCAGCACACAGACCTAAATCAATACTTGCTGGATGCGTCTGGCCGTATTTCTAGCATTAGACTTGGCTTTTCATTCATCATACTAGTAAATATTATGGGCTCATCTCTTGCTATTAATTCCTTTTATACCTAGACACATCTTCTCAGATTTTAATTTGAACATAATATATACTATCTATTATCGGCATTCATATTGCGTTTAAATTAGAGATACGAATACCTAGTATGGAGAGTAGGGGCAGCTAAGAATACGAGGTCACATATTTTCATGGGGCCCAATATTTTCTCTCACAAGCGATTGTAAATTTTAAGTGTCAGTAAACTGCTTCAATCACAGTTTAGCCTATTTAAATTTTTAAGTGTCAGTAAACTGCTTGAATCACAGTTTAGCCTATTTAAATTTTTAAGTGTCAGTAAACTGCTTCAATCACAGTTTAGCCTATTTAAATTTTTAAGTGTCAGTAAACTGCTTCAATCATAGTTTAGCCTATTTAAATTTTTAAGTGTCAGTAAACTGCTTCAATCACAGTTTAGCCTATTTAAATTTTTAAGTGTCAGTAAACTGCTTCAATCACAGTTTAGCCTATTTAAATTTTTAAGTGTCAGTAAACTGCTTCAATCATAGTATAGCCTATTTAAATTTTTAAGTGTCAGTAAACTGCTTGAATCACAGTTTAGCCTATTTAAATTTTTAAGTGTCAGTAAACTGCTTCAATCATAGTTTAGCCTATTTAAATTTTTAAGTGTCAGTAAACTGCTTGAATCACAGTTTAGCCTATTTAAATTTTTAAGTGTCAGTAAACTGCTTCAATCACAGTATAGCCTATTTAAATTTTTAAGTGTCAGTAAACTGCTTCAATCACAGTTTAGCCTATTTAAATTTTTAAGTGTCAGTAAACTGCTTCAATCATAGTATAGCCTATTTAAATTTTTAAGTGTCAGTAAACTGCTTCAATCACAGTTTAGCCTATTTAAATTTTTAAGTGTCAGTAAACTGCTTCAATTACAGTTTAGCCTATTTAAATTTTTAAGTGTCAGTAAACTGCTTCAATCACAGTTTAGCCTATTTACATTTTTAAGTGTCAGTAAACTGCTTCAATCACAGTTTGGCCTATTTAAATTTTTTCAAAAGTACAAACGTTAGACAACATCTAGTGCGAACATCATCTGTCATTATCTTTAAACCAGGTATTGTTTGCTTCAAGCCGATGCTCCCGGAAATAATATAGCCTAGTTCAAGCGACCGTTCAATTTTGACTATAAAATAGGCCGAATTAAAAATTAAAAAAACAAAACAAACAGCTATTGAATTCTGATAAACAATGATTTACCCCACTTTAAAATCTAAAGACAGCTTGTGTCAATTCTAGCCATTTTCGTGATTTCGTTGGGAAAATGCTGAAACGGACAAAAATAGATGGACAAAAGGACGAGATGGACAAAAAGACGAGATGGACAAAAGGACGAGATGGACAAAAGGACAAGATGGACAAAAGGACAAGATGGACAAAAGGCTGAGATGGACAAAAGGACAAGATGGACAAAAGGACAAGATGGACAAAAGGCTGAGATGGACAAAAGGACAAGATGGACAAAAGGACAAGATGGACAAAAGGCTGAGATGGACAAAAGGCTGAGATGGACAAAAGGACAAGATGGACAAAAGGCTGAGATGGACAAAAGGCTGAGATGGACAAAAGGACAAGATGGACAAAAGGACAAGATGGACAAAAGGACGAGATGGACAAAAGGCTGAGATGGACAAAAGGACAAGTGACAAAAGGCTGAGATGGACAAAAGGACAAGATGGACAAAAGGACAAGATGGACAAAAGGCTGAGATGGACAAAAGGCTGAGATGGACAAAAGGACAAGATGGACAAAAGGACAAGATGGACAATAGGACAAGATGGACAAAAGGACAAGATGGACAAAAGGACAAGATGGACAATAGGACAAGATGGACAAAAGGCTGAGATGGACAAAAGGACAAGATGGACAAAAGGACAAGATGGACAATAGGACAAGATGGACAAAAGGCTGAGATGGACAAAAGGACAAGATGGACAAAAGGACAAGATGGACAAAAGGCTGAGATGGACAAAAGGCTGAGATGGACAAAAGGACAAGATGGACAAAAGGACAAGATGGACAATAGGACAAGATGGACAAAAGGCTGAGATGGACAAAAGGACAAGATGGACAATAGGACAAGATGGACAAAAGGCTGAGATGGACAAAAGGACAAGATTGACAAAAGGACAAGATGGACAAAAGGACAAGATGGACAAAGGCTGAGATGGACAAAAGGCTGAGATGGACAAAAGGACAAGATGGACAATAGGACAAGATGGACAAAAGGCTGAGATGGACAAAAGGACAAGATGGACAAAAGGACAAGATGGACAAAAGGACGAGATGGACAAAAGGCTGAGATGGACAAAAGGCTGAGATGGACAAGAGGACGAGATGGACAAAAGGACGAGATGGACAAAAGGACGAGATGGACAAAAGGACAAGATGGACAAAAGGCTGAGATGGACAAAAGACTGAGATGGACAAAAGGTCAAGATGGACAAACGGACGAGATGGACAAAAGGCTGAGATGGACAAAAGGACAAGATGGACAAAAGGACAAGATGGACAAAAAGCTGAGATGGACAAAAGGACAAGATGGACAAAAGGACAAGATGGACAAAAGGACAAGATGGACAAAAGGACAAGATGGACAAAAGGCTGAGATGGACAAAAGGCTGAGATGGACAAAAGGACAAGATGGACAAAAGGCTGAGATGGACAAAAGGCTGAGATGGACAAAAGGACGAGATGGACAAAAGGACAAGATGGACAAAAGGCTGAGATGGACAAAAGGCTGAGATGGACAAAATGACGAGATGGACAAAAGGACGAGATGGACAAAAGGACAAGATGGACAAAAGGACAAGATGGACATATGGCCGAGGTGGACAAAAGGACAAGATGGATAAATGGACGAGATGGACAAATGGACGAGGTGGACAAAAGGACAAGATGGACAAAGGGACAAGATGGACAAAAGGACAAGATGGACAAAAGGACAAGATGGACAAAAGGCTGAGATGGACAAAAGGCTGAGATGGACAAAAGGACAAGATGGACAAAAGGCTTAGATGGACAAAAGGACAAGATGGACAAAAAGACAAGATGGACAAAAGGCTGAGATGGACAAAAGGCTGAGATGGACAAAAGGACGAGATGGACAAAAGGACGAGATGGACAAAAGGACGAGATGAACAAAAGGACAAGATGGACAAAAGGCTGAGATGGACAAAAGGCTGAGATGGACAAAAGGACAAGATGGACAAAAGGACAAGATGGACAAAAGGCTGAGATGGACAAAAGGACAAGATGGACAAAAGGACAAGTGACAAAAGGCTGAGATGGACAAAAGGACAAGATGGACAAAAGGCTGAGATGGACAAAAGGACAAGATGGACAAAAGGCTGAGATGGACAAAAGGACAAGATGGACAAATGGCTGAGATGGACAAAAGGCTGAGATGGACAAAAGGACAAGTGACAAAAGGCTGAGATGGACAAAAGGACAAGATGGACAAAAGGCTAAGATGGACAAAACGACAAGATGGACAAAAGGACAAGATGGACAAAAGGCTGAGATGAACAAATGGCTGAGATGGACAAAAGGACAAGATGGACAAAAGGCTGAGATGGACAAAAGGACAAGATGGACAAAAGGACAAGATGGACAAAAGGACAAGATGGACAACAGGCTGAGATGGACAAAAGGACAAGATGGACAAAAGGACAAGATGGACAAAAGGACGAGATGGACAAAAGGACAAGATGGACAAAAGGACAAGATGGACAAAAGGACAAGATGGACAAAAGGACGAGATGGACAAAAGGACAAGATGGACAAAAGGACGAGATGGACAAAAGGACAAGATGGACAAAAGGCTGAGATGGACAAAAGGACAAGATGGACAAAAGGCTGAGATGGACAAAAGGACGAGGTGGACAAAAGGCTGAGATGGACAAAAGGACAAGATGGACAAAAGGACAAGATGGACAAAAGGACAAGATGGACAAAAGGACGAGATGGACAAAAGGACAAGATGGACAAAAGGACAAGATGGACAAAAGGACAAGATGGACAAAAGGCTGAGATGGACAAAAGGACGAGATGGACAAAAGGACGAGATGGACAAAAGGACAAGATGGACAAAAGGCTGAGATGGACAAAAGGACAAGATGGACAAAAGGCTGAGATGGACAAAAGGACGAGGTGGACAAAAGGCTGAGATGGACAAAAGGACAAGATGGACAAAAGGACAAGATGGACAAAAGGACGAGATGGACAAAAGGACGAGATGGACAAAAGGACGAGATGGACAAAAGGACGAGATGGACACATGGCGAAGATGGACAAAAGACTGAGATAGGATAGAGATAGCGATATGGAAAATAAAATTAAATAGGAACATAAATTGGGAAATGAAAAGGTATAAGAAATGGCTATGTATAGCGCTAGGAATATAGATGATGATAGCTACAATCATATGTATGGAATAGCGTTACGCAAAACGGTATGGGATAGGGACAGAAATAAGATAACGATTAGGATAGCGATGGGCATACACTAAGAGTACTAAATAAACCGCGAGTAATCTCCCCTAAACTTTCTCGAATATTCTTATTTAACACTACGGGGGATGGCAACTCGGGATATAGACATGATTTTTAATCCATTTTTAATGACAAACTTTTTAAAGTGGAATAGGACCTCTTAGAAAAAAGAATTGCGCACCTACTGAACGGCAAACAATATGTGTATAATAGTGTGGAATACTATTAGTACTACATAAATTAACATGTGTTTTATTGAGGAATGGAAATAGCGTAAATTACTACTTTTGTTAAACGGAAATTAAACAGAATTTAAGAGGAGGCAGAGAATTAGATCTTTTACTTACATACCAAAT